TAAGACAGAAAATGTCAAAATACAAATTGATGTTTCATTTCATGCAATACTTTGTTTATTATCCTTTAAAAAAGTTAACAATAACAAATATTTAAAAATCTAAAACGGTACACATATATCTTCAATTTATTGTTATTTATGTATTCATTTATTTTATTATTGCAATAACTAGAAATTCACGAGTAACCTTTAGAAAATGTATTAATTATTTAAAGATGACAATAATTTTATTACGTAGAACGGATCGCAATGTTTTGACAACAGCAACAGAGCACTTGTATCAACTATCAACAATTGAAAATTTTAAACCACTTTAATTTATTAAATTGATCTTTCTTCAAAACAACGACTGGCTTTGTGACTTGGACCTGGACCAATCTGGATCGTATACCTACTTAAGACCTACGCATTCCCGAAGCACTGTGACGTTTTGTGATTTGGCTTTGTTACATGGACCGCTTGGAAATATCAATATCGAAAGTGACATGATGGAGAGAGAGAGTTCTATCTTCAATAGAAAACATTGAAAGGGTAGGAACTGCAGCCGATATGAATCCACGAATGCCTAAAGTGTTGTATATGTTCGGAACTAATAAAACCAAAATCCTTCCATCCTGTACGGTGAGAATGAATTCAAAAGAAGGAACCGTATTTTGAAACACACGGTATTAAATGTGATCCTGACGCTGATCATTACAAACTTGCAACCTTATAACAACAGAGGATCGCCAAACCTACCGCAATTGCAAATACTTATTGCATTAAGGCATAAAAATGCAACTGGATGTTTTCAGGTAATATTGTGTTCATAAATATGTATGGTTTTTCAATTTGATATATTATACCTCTTCTCAAATGATTTCAAATAGTACATATGTTGAAGACTTTTGTCTTCTGACTTTCAGAAAAATAACATATATGTGACTAATAATAATTTATTGACATTACAGATGGTGTGTGGTGATCTGAACAGCATAAGCCAATCTACAGTCTGTTTAATTATAAATAAAGTCTCTGCAGAGTTGAGTAAATTACTTCCTAGATTTGTAAATTTTCCAAGAAATATGAACACAGCCAAAACGAAGTTTGAAGAATTAGGAAGATCTAATACTCACCATGGCCTAAACAGTATAATCGGAGCTATTGACTGCACCCATATAAAAATTAATAGACCCAAAGGTATCGCTCACTCTAAAGCTTACAGAAATAAAAAAGGGTATTTTTCTGTAAATGTGCAAGCAATAATAGGGCCTGATATGGAAATATTTGCTATAGTGACTAGGTGGCCTGGCAGTTCACACGACAGCAGGATATTTAGAAAATGCCTGTTTTAGTAGGTGACAGCGGTTATCCAGCACTTAACTGCATGGTAACAACACTTTTAAATCCAATGACAAGAGCTGACAATATTTATAATTATTCTCAAATAAGAACTAGGCATATTTTTTAAAGGTTTTTCGGAGTGTGAAAAAGGAAATTTCCATGTTTACAGCTAGGACTACAGTCAAAATTGACAAATACTAGTTATATATAATTATAGCTTGTGCTGTATTGCATAATATAGGTATACAGAGAGGCGATGCTTATGATGATGGTGATCTTGCTGACGGCAGAAGTTGAGTAACACAGAAACAATGAAAGATCTCCTACAGGTCTAGCATTCCGGCAATCTGTGATTGCACAATTTAACTAGGTAATTTGTTTGGTAATAAAGAATATCAAAACAAAACTTGTTTCATTTTAATCATTTATTTTCTGATTCTTTTTTTAAGTGTAATACATATTTCTAATACTAATTTATATTTTTGTTGAAGAAATTCTATTTCTAACAGATTTTTTAATTTCATATGTTCCACTCCTATCTCAAATTTTTTAGGGTAGTCAGGTAATAAATGGTAGAAGATTCAGGGAAACGAAAATAACAGATGTGAAGCGAGAGACATCGGTTAGGTTATAGTTTGAATTTCGTTGTCACTATAATATGCCAGGGCTGCCAGGTGACATACAAAATCACACCAGTTATTTTTAAGATTTCTCAAAAATGGGGTTTGAACAATTACATAAATAATATAAATAAACAACAATAAATACCATAATAATGTGTAATTATTTTATTTCATGCATTTCATAGGTATTTATCAAGATCATTTATAATTTCTTTTTACCCTTTTTTATTTCTGTAAGCTTTAGAGTGAGCGATACCTTTGGGTCTATTAATTTTTATATGGGTGCAGTCAATAGCTCCGATTATACTGTTTAGGCCATGGTGAGTATTAGATCTTCCTAATTCTTCAAACTTCGTTTTGGCTGTGTTCATATTTCTTGGAAAATTTACAAATCTAGGAAGTAATTTACTCAACTCTGCAGAGACTTTATTTATAATTAAACAGACTGTAGATTGGCTTATGCTGTTCAGATCACCACACACCATCTGTAATGTCAATAAATTATTATTAGTCACATATATGTTATTTTTCTGAAAGTCAGAAGACAAAAGTCTTCAACATATGTACTATTTGAAATCATTTGAGAAGAGGTATAATATATCAAATTGAAAAACCATACATATTTATGAACACAATATTACCTGAAAACATCCAGTTGCATTTTTATGCCTTAATGCAATAAGTATTTGCAATTGCGGTAGGTTTGGCGATCCTCTGTTGTTATAAGGTTGCAAGTTTGTAATGATCAGCGTCAGGATCACATTTAATACCGTGTGTTTCAAAATACGGTTCCTTCTTTTGAATTCATTCTCACCGTACAGGATGGAAGGATTTTGGTTTTATTAGTTCCGAACATATACAACACTTTAGGCATTCGTGGATTCATATCGGCTGCAGTTCCTACCCTTTCAATGTTTTCTATTGAAGATAGAACTCTCTCTCTCCATCATGTCACTTTCGATATTGATATTTCCAAGCGGTCCATGTAACAAAGCCAAATCACAAAACGTCACAGTGCTTCGGGAATGCGTAGGTCTTAAGTAGGTATACGATCCAGATTGGTCCAGGTCCAAGTCACAAAGCCAGTCGTTGTTTTGAAGAAAGATCAATTTAATAAATTAAAGTGGTTTAAAATTTTCAATTGTTGATAGTTGATACAAGTGCTCTGTTGCTGTTGTCAAAACATTGCGATCCGTTCTACGTAATAAAATTATTGTCATCTTTAAATAATTAATACATTTTCTAAAGGTTACTCGTGAATTTCTAGTTATTGCAATAATAAAATAAATGAATACATAAATAACAATAAATTGAAGATATATGTGTACCGTTTTAGATTTTTAAATATTTGTTATTGTTAACTTTTTTAAAGGATAATAAACAAAGTATTGCATGAAATGAAACATCAATTTGTATTTTGACATTTTCTGTCTTAGCTTGGGCTTAGCTTAATCTCACCGTTAAAATGTCTATAAATACGAAATCATAGTTTAACCTTAGTGTACACTAAGCAAAGTTTTTCGTAAGGTAAGTCTGAGCAAAGTCCAAGTGCGCACTATAGATCTCACCCTTAGAGGGAGGGAAAAAAGAAGATACGTTAAGAATTTACTGAATATAATTGTCATTAAAATATTAAAAGTGTCGGAAATTAATACAAATTATTAATTTAATTTATTTCTTCAATAATAAAAACACGCAGCATTTTAATTTACAATTCGTGATTTGAGATTTCAATAAACTATTTTGCATAAAATAAAAAATACTAATATTTCAATAATTCTCTTTACGAAATTTTAATTTTTCTTCGACAAAAACGCTGCACATCTTCGTGACGTTCCGTAAAAATTTTACCCTCATGCGCCTAAAGAAGTTTCAAAAAAACTATAATTATATATTACTATTAATTAATATACTATAATAGACACTTACACAATCGTTTTGTAAAAACAATAAAAAAAAAATATATAAACCATTGCCGCTACAACCTTTAAGTTATGGCGCGTCTAAACGGGCCATGTTTTGCTGCAATTGATGGCTGCACTGTTGGCCACTAATTGCCCGGCCATTACAAAAATATTTTAATGCAGCTGATGGCCGAACAATCTATGGCTGGGCAATGTGTTGCAATATGTCTGCAATAGTATGGCCCATGATGCAGACTCCTAAACGGGCTACACAAACCGGCAACAATGGCTGACGAAATCACACTTGTCGCAGCAGCTTATATTGTTTTAAAAAAGAAACAGAAAAAGAAGAGATTGTGGATTCGACCTTACTTAAATAGGTGTGAAGCTGTAGACAATTTGAGTCTAGAAATATGCCTCGATAATAAATTATTCAAGAACTTTACTAAAATGTCAAAAGCAGTCATTTTTAAGTAGTAACCTAACGTCAAAATGCAGCTGATCGCAAAACACAGAATATAGCAACAGGCACACTTCACTCATAGCAAACTTAATGTCGCGTAGAAAAGGATACACTGTGCCATAACAAAGAGAGTGACTGAAACAACAATAGAACTGGCTGTGCAATATTGCAGTTGAATTCGATAGCCTAGCGATCGTCCGGCCACCCATCGGGGCAACATCGGCCATATGTGGCTATACAAAACATGTTTGGCTATATGGCCGGGACATTACTGCAATATTGCATAGTGTGGCTGCTATTGTTTGCAATGTTGCCGGCCACAGTGTTGCTGCAGCAAAACATGGCCCGTTTAGAAGCGCCATTAGGCCTGAAATGTATGTCTCTATTTCGTAATCATTTCATTTTTCCTAATAGACAAGCTGTGCCTAATACACGTTGTCGACCAGTTTTCCGAGTCAAAGGCAATCAATCCTCGGCTGTGCACCAATGGACTTTCTGTCTATGTATACATTTAGTACTCGCTCGAACGGTGAAGGTAAACCGGCAAGTCCCAAATCCAAAATTAGATGCCATGCGTCAGACAGAAGCCTAATCTACTTGTCTATGAAATAAAAATGATCAAAAGAAACAGATGCAATCTGAAGCCAAGACCCTTATAGAGTTGTAGCGCCACTGGTTTATTATTACTCACGGTAATTCCGAGTATTTGACGTGAGGCAGCCTTTTTAAATGTTGATTTAAAGATATCTCGGTTTTGAACGTTCTGAAAACAAGATAAATCTATAACATATTGTTACGAAGACGGGTCGACTGCAGTTTTTAGATTTTTCCACTAGTTTTAGAAATTTCAGCAGGCTGATATGATTTATGACCGTTTCAGGAGAGGGTCAATCACGCTACATAATGGTATATATATACAGTCTATATGCAGTAGTGTATACGGTGTGGCGACGCGTCGCCATGCGCAATCGACTATGCGATTCTCTCCAACTCGATCCGGCGTTAAGCCATCCCTCTCTTGCTACACTGAGCTCGGATACCTATAGTGTATACTCCGTAGTGTATACAGTGTTGTTTACTACAGTACACATAACCTGTGTTTTACTTGAAAACAAATTATTTTTCTGATAATAAAATGTCTGCCCGTGATAATTTAGAGAGTGAAAGTGATCAGCCTCCTGCAAAGAAAGCAAAATCACTATAATTAAAGTATGCATTTATCTGTGCATTAAGCACGCGTATATTTGGTGTGTTTTGAGCGCCAATAAATGTAAAATCTACTCTCTTGGTAGATTACAATTCATTCTTATTGAAATGATTGCATTAAAACAATTGCTAAAATAATTAGAGAATAAATTTATTTAGACTGACAGAATTGTATTTCAAAATCAGCTGATTGCGTGCAGCGCACGAATGTTTTTTTTGTTTGTTATTAATATGAACATTAAAAATTTATTCATTTTTATAATCATAGTGGAATTTATAGTGAAACATTCATTATTGATATTTATAATTTACGATCTTTAGTAATATATTGAAATAACTAGCTAAGATTCTTGAGATAACTAATATATTGAAGCCAATTTAATTTTTTCTGTATATTTTAATAACATATTTTTTATAAATATTTCAGAACCCAACAATCATCACAGGGGTCACAAAATATTATTATTGAAACTGGACATCACCAAGATCAGTTAAACGCAAGACATACTATTAATGTTATGTAAGATTTTATTAATCTAATAGTACCAGAATATACTAATTTTTATTTAAGCTTCTTTTAACATGGATTTAGTAATTCAAAATGCTACAGAAGTTCATGTCTCCCAAACATCTATTGGCGACATGCTTCACACGTTAAACTAGAAGATGGAAATGAATTGATGATGATTGTTGTGTACCTATATTTGTCCTAATAAAAAACTAAATGACATCATTTCATTTTTACACGAGAGATTATTTCCGTACAGTCACAGAGGTTCAATATCTTTCAAAACCAATAAAGACAAACTACCATTGATTTTAGCTTGGAATTCAAATTTTGCAAAAGATGAATCAACGCCATTAATTACGTTTCTCCAAGAAGAATTTCAATTGCAAATTAATAACAATCCAAGAGCACCTACCACCAGATACGGAACAACAATAGATGCTGTATTTATTAGATATCTTGATAATGTTATGTCCAATACTTTTGTAACATACTTCAGTTACCATCGACCAATTGTCACAGTAATACCGTACTCAGAGGCAACATCGAATATAACTATTACCGAAGTCACTGAATAAACGAATTGAGTAGTCACGATTTGAAACAAAAATTCGTAAATTTTTGTATTTAATGAAAATAAATGTTTATTCAATAAATAGTCATCTGGAAAAAATAGTAATATTTTATTTTATCATTATGACATATTTAGTTCCTATCACAATCTGTTCTTTTCTGCATATTACTTTTACAAAATAATGTCGATGTTTCACATCTGCCAGGCGTCCCGTGACGGCTCACATTTTTTCATTATTTGCATTTGATTGACTTCGTCCAATTTGCTGAGATACTTCAACTACTACATGCTGCATTTCTTCTTAACCAGCTACATTTCAAGAATTTGTTCTTATTTCATCTATTATTGGATCGTTAATTATTTCTGTAAATTCGATGTTTGGAGAAGTAGATAATTATGTAATCACATCTGCATTTTGTAGACGCCTCCTCCTTTCCGCTTCACGTTGTTTCAATTTATCTCTGTTCTGCTCCCTGTATCTTTGTTGACGTTGTCTTCTTTTTTGGAGAGCATTTAGTTCATTACCTTGATAATTTCTTCGAATGGATGATGGTTGTATTTTTTCCGAACCAGATGAACGTTGAGCAGTAATAATTTCTTCATTATTCAGTTCTATTTTATTCGTGTTTGACGAGGTAGATGGTCCGGCAATACTTTGTGAATATTGTATGCGTTCTCTTCTTTCCGCTTCACGCTGCTTCAATTTGTCTCTGTTCTGCTCCCTGTATCGTTTTTGACGTTCTTTTTTTTTATTATTTACTCTAAAAAAATATATATGTGTTAAAAGAAGCTTAAATAAAAATGAGTATATTCTGGTACTATTAGATTAATAAAATCTTACATAACATTAATAGTATGTCTTGCGTTTAACTGATCTTGGTGATGTCCAGTTTCAATAATAATATTTTGTGACCCGTGTAATGATTGTTGGGTTCTGAAATATTTATAAAAAATATGTTATTAAAATATACAGAAAAATTTAAATTGGCTTCAATATATTAGTTATTTCAAGAATCTACGCTAGTTATTTCAATATATTACTAAAGATAGTAAATTATAAATATCAATAATGAATGCTTCATTATAAATTCCACTATGATTAGAAAAAAATATTTATTTTTAATGTTCATATTAATAACAAATAAGAAAAACATTCGTGCGCTGCACGCCATCATCATGTGATTTTGAAATACAATTCTGTCAGTCTTAATAAATTTATTCTCTAAGCAATTGTTTTAATGCATTAATTTCAATAGGAATGAAATTCATAATTAATTTAAAAACATTATATGCAATGAAATTTATGTGAATTTTAATCTACCAAGAGAGAAGATTTTACATTGACTGGCGCTCAAAACACACCAAATATACACGTGCTTAATGCACAGATAAATTCATACTTTAATTATAAAAATATAATTAACTTACTGATGACTTGATAGTGTGTCATAGTGTGATTTTACTTTCTATGCAGGAGGCTGATCACTTTCACTCTCTAAATTATCACGGTCGGACATTTTATTATCAGAAAAATAATTGGTTTTCAAGTAAAACACAGGTTTAATGTGTACTGTAGTAAACAACACTGTATACACTACCGAGTATACACTATAGGTATCCTAGCTCAGTGTAGCAAGAGAGGGGCGGCTTAACGCCAGATCGAGTGGGAGAGAATCGCACAGTCGATTGCGCATGGCGACCCGTCGCCACACCGTACACACTACTGCATGTAGACTGTATATATATATATATTATATCATCATAAACCGGAAATTGTCCCCACGGCATGCGTCGCCACGCAATTCCGGTTTAAGTGTAAACAAATTCCTCGTTGATTTAATTGAAAATAAACCCTTGAAGAAATCTACGGTGTTTTCTATCCGATCCCCTAGCTCGTAACAATATTATAGATATAAATTAACAACAATTTTTTTATCTCTTCGATAGATATGATTACTTGTAGATATATGACAGACAGACAGACAGATATAATATTTATTACTAACAAAAACACACACACACATAAACACACAAAACAACAATAATCAAAGAAAAAATAAAATGAGAGATATCGAAAACCCCTTTTCCTATTCGGTTTGTTTCAAGTGTGTAATGCGTGTGTGCTGTGGTTGAAATTGGCCCTAGCTCAGCATTATGCTGAGGAGTAGAATGTTCCACAGCGCTGATCATTCTGCCAGAGACCACAGCGGCTGGTTTGTGCAAAAAAAGAAAGAAAAAGAATGTAATAAATACTTAGTAGAACAAAATTATAATTTAAGTTACCAGTGTAAGTAATGAAGTCTTGTATAAAGGTGTATAGTAAAATTAATAAAATGTAATGTAAAATGTAAATAAAATAAAAAATCTGTGCCGAAAAGAGAACAGGCTTGGCCGTTTTACGGACTTATATAATCCTTAATTTATTAATTATATAGTTTATCAAGTATCAAGTTTACTATCGAACTATAATGACCCAACAGTATTTATTTATTTATCAATAAAAAACATTACATCAATACAAGATATTTTTGTGTGTATAAGTAATACAAAAAAACATTAAAATAAAACAATAATAGGCACGAAAATTTAAACGCAGCAATTTATAGTACATACACAAAAGACAATTACAAAAACGATTTTAAAAGGCGCTGGAAAACAGTCAAAGCACGAAACCTGTCAACAAAGTTGGAAAGTCAAAGTCAAAATAACTTTATTCATATAGGTAAACAAGTACACTTATGAACGTCAGAAAAGAAGTTAAATTAATTCTAAATTTACATTTACTACCAGTTCGCAAGTCAAGGGCGAAGAGCGGGCAAGAAGAACTGGCAAGAAACTTTCTGTCACTCTTTTAATCGCTTAGTTTTGAGTCATACAAATTGTTTGAACTGGAGCAAATTAATCCCAAGGATTAGGATAATTTGAATATCCTATATAATGGCTTTTCAGCTTTTTTTTGCGGTGGAACATTTGCAGTGTTCTCAAATCACACCACGGTTCTCTTTCCGCACAGACTATTATAGCTTTTACATGACAGTTGACAGAAGAAACATCTTAAACGGGCCATAGACGGACCGCAAGTTGCAGTCAAGACCGACTGCAAAATGCCGTTTGCTCAGGAACTGCTCAAGCGGTCCGTGTCCGTGAATATGAATTTAGTATGGAAACTGCAGATCGCCGTGCGGCGACCGCATGTTGCAGTCGGTCTTGACTGCAACATGCGGTCCGTCTATGGCCCGCTTAAATCGTTTTGGCAATTGTATATGGATATGAATAAGAAATAATAGATTGCCACACAAAATATGGGTAAAAGACCGACCATTATCTGAGTTATTTGGATTCAGGATTTTATTTATTTTGTTAGTTACTTACATAAAAAATACAATAAAGAATTAGCGACCTCCATTAAAATTAATAATTTAAAATGGTAATACTATTGAGTTCTTTAAAACGAACAGACGATAAACAATTGATTTGTAATATTAGTAAAGAAATGTCACAAACAACTTAAATACAATTTTCACATTATTATAAAAAAATACATACTTATTACACTCAACGCAATAAAAGCTCCTCGTGTCAGAGTGCTTTATCATATGGTGTTTAAGTTGAGACGGGGACGAGAACGCCTTACCACATTCCTCACACTTGTATTTGCATCGGGACTCCTGCCATTGATTATCTCCCGAATGTTGTCTGAAAAGGTGAATTTTCACTTTTAATAAAAATCATACATTTAACTATATCTACATAAGAAAAAAACCATTTCTGTATCTGTTTTATGATGATTTGTCAATCTAATAGGCAAGTAGGTGATCGGCCACCTGTGCCTGACACACGCCGTCGACTTTTTGCGTCTAAGGCAAGGTTTACTCACGATGTTTTCCTTCACCGTTCGAGCGAATGTTCAATGCATACATAGACAGAAAGTCCAAAGGTGCACAGCCGGAAATCAAACTTACGACCTTAGTGATGAGAGTCGCACGCTAAAGCCACTAAGCCAACTCTGCTCTATACTCTAGTCGAAAAAAAAACCCAAAAAGCCTTTGAAAACCTTGGAATTAATACATAAATAAGAGATATTAATTTTCTAGCGTGAGCCAAAATCTGTCTTATTCGACCTGATGATAATTTAAGTGACACCCAGTATAAAATGAAAATAAATATATAATCAACAGTATAAATATCCGTAGTTTTTCAAAATCTAATTATCTGCCTATTTTCTACATAAAGTGTATTTTAATCGTCGATTATGACATCATTTAATAATTCACTGAAAAACTAAAGCTGGCCATAGACGGACCGCATAATGCAGTCGACTACCACTGCTTGGAGCAGTTGTGTTCGACCGCAAAATAATACTGATGCGAGTTCATTTACAAGATAGATTTCGATGAAGAAACACTGCTTCTTGTACTACTATTACGCAAGCGTAGGTGTAGAAGCAGCAGCTCTAAGCAGTCGACCGTACGGCGAAACTTAACCGCAGAGCGACTGCTCCGACCGCTCAGTAACTGCTCGAGCGATCCGTGTATTGCGGATATGAATTTAGTATGGAAACTGCAGATCGCCGTGCGGCGACCGCTTAGAGCAGTCGGTATCGGCTGCAACATGCGGTCCGTCTATGGCTCGCTTTAGATACATTACATTAGCTTTGTAAATAAACACAAATTAAAAGAGATTTTTCAAAAACGATTCGAAATTTATGATACCCTTTTCCCGAGACCTAAAAATGTTATAAAGATAAATTCAACGTGATTAAAATACTTACAATTGAATGTGTGTCCTCAAATAGTATTTGGTGACGTATGACTTCAAGCAAATATCGCAGGTAATTCTATTCTTTTTATGTCTATAATATTTGTGTCTGCGAAGGGCTCCATTGGTTCTAAAAATATATTATTGAAAACTTATAATATACGTAGAGGAATCCAAATTTATGGGTACTTTCGTTAATCGCTAATACGTTCGTAAAATTTCTACGAAATAATCACAATTGGTGGAAAGCACTCGAACCGTAATGTAAATCACTACATAGTATAAAACAAAGTCGCTTTCCCTGTCCCTATATCCCTATGTATTCTTAAATCTTTAAAACTACGCAACGGATTTTCATGCGTTTTTTTGAAGTTATACTTCTTTAGGCGCGTTATGAAAAATTGATGAGAGTGAAATTTTACGACGCGCGCGCACCATGACTCAAAATTATCAGAATGAAGTTGCCCACTAACGAATCCTTTTTAAACCATCCGGGCGCCGAGCGTGCGCGAGCGAGATGGGAATAAGACCATCTACAAGCAAAAAAAAAACCTTTGTAGTACCTTTTAAACAAATAAAGGAGTTTCAATTATTTTTTCAAAGAAATTTAGTAATGCATTTTCACAAAGACCTATAATGTTACTTAGTTAAAAGGTGAAGAAACATACCTAGTTATTAAATTGAATGAATAATATAATAAACTAATAAATAATAATTATTATTATTAATTAATAATTAATAATTGAATAATATACTAAATATTAAATATTATTAAATTATTAACGTTAAATATTTATTATAAATTATTTAATATTTAAAAAAATAAAGAAAGCCAAAGAAGTATAACTTCTTACGCGCGTACATAAGTACACGAGGTGTGTGAACTGTCAATACACGACTTCTCCCAAAATACTCATTTTAATTATTTTTAAGTGTTTTTTATTGTTATTACTTGTTATTTATCTCTTATTTATTTATAACTTAGTGCATTAAGTATATTGTTGCAAAGTATTACAGTGATATAGTGATTATAAAGTGTAATAAACGGTGTCAGTAACAGCTGTGTACTAGGTAACGTACTTAATTCGAATCGTTGTCATCCAAATTCGGTAATTTGTATTTCTTTTTCAATACGAATAAATAGTGTAAATAAGTAAATTGAAACAAATAAGTATTTATTACAATACTAATACTCTCGCGAGCTTACATTCACACTGCCCCTGTGTAGGTACCTATTCTATCTTTATCAATCTTTGTTTGCTAAGTAAAGTAATTTAAATCATAAACAATGACTACTCGTAGTGCTAAGAGTCGCCAGTTGGAAAGCCAACTCCAACTCGCGCTCCAAGAACTCAAAAAGTACAAGGAGCAGTGTGAACAATTAATTGTTGAAAGGAATGACAACGAAATCGAGACGTCGATAGTTATTAATAGAAATACTTTCCTGAAAACTGAGATGACACAGCTTCACAATCTTTGCTTGGAGGCACAGGAGGAAAGAGACCGTCTTAAAAGACAAACAGGCAACTTTGACCGCTGTGCCATTGAATATGAGGACAATTTAAAAACCATGTCTGAGCTACGGTCTCAACTCTCTTGTGCCTATGAAACAATTGAACAGCTTAAATATTAACAAATTAGAGTCTTCTCATACACAAAGTCTGTATGAAGAACTGGTCATCTCAAATCAAGGTAAAGACTGTAGGTCCACTGCAACAATTGACTTGACAGGTGATGACTCTGTGTCGCATACACCAACTCAATTCAATTGTAACAGCAAAAACAAATTAAAGAAATATATTAAAATGCAAAAATTCATTAAAAAAACTAAAAAGTTAATAAATGGAAATAATATTTACAAAAATCATATAAACTTATCAAAAAAATATAAAAATGTTTTAAATCAATGTAAAATATTTTCAAGTGAGGTTGAATCTGTAAAGAATAAATATGAAACTGACATTCTCACATTAAATTCTAGGATTACAAGTCTTCATAATTATCTAGAAGATATGACAGATAAATACAGTAGCTATAATATTCAACAATTGTATTAAAAGTGGCGAGTTTCCCGATCTAATGAAACATAGTAAAGTTATTCCTTTATTTAAAGCAGGTAGTATGTCCGACCCCAGTAACTTTAGACCAATTTCCGTACTTGTAGTAAAATATTTGAAAAAATTATATTAAATCAACTCGTAAGTCATTTTAACGTAACCAAAATATTACATAAAAATCAGTTCGGTTTTACCAAGGGTCGCTCGACAGCCGATGCCGGTGTTGAGTTATATAGATATATAGTTAAGGTTTGGGAGGAGTCGCATGACGCTTTAGGTGTTTTCTGCGACTTATCCAAAGCATTTGATTGTGTCCAACACGAGACCTTAATCGGGAAACTCCGTCATTATGGCATCAAGAATACCGCACTGAATCTTCTGACTTCCTATTTACACGGAAGAACTCAGAAGGTTGAAGTGAATGGTAAGAGGTCCTCTGGGTCGGCAGTAGATATGGGGGTACCACAGGGCTCAATTCTTGGCCCTTTCCTCTTTCTTGTTTATATAAATGATCTACCTTTCATGGTAGAGAGAAAACATCAGATAGTTTTGTTTGCTGATGACACGTCCTTGATTTTTAAAATCAAACGACAAATAACAAATTTTGACGATGTGAACAATGCTCTATCTTCGATTGTACATTGGTTTAGTATGAATAACCTTCTACTTAATGCAAAAAAGACAAAATGCATTAAATTTTGTGCAAAAAATGCAAGGGTTATGGATACTAGACCAATTATAAACGGTGAGCAATTGAATCTGGATGATACAACTGTATTTCTCGGAATCACCATGGATTCAAAACTTCAGTGGTCTCCTCATATTAACGGATTGGCGAAGAGACTTAGTTCTGCAGCCTACGCGGTTAAAAAAATTCGTTCACTAACTGATGTCGATACAGCTAGACTTGTCTATTTTAGTTACTTTCATAGCTTAATGACTTATGGCTTATTATTATGGGGTCATGCTGCTGATGTCGAAACTATTTTCATCCTGCAGAAGAGGGCTATTCGTGCAATCTATAATTTAAAATGTAGGGAATCTCTTAGAGATAAATTCAAGGAAATTAATATACTTACCTTTCCCTCGCAATATATTTATGAAAATATTATGTATGTATACAAAAATAGTGATAAGTTTACTAGAATAGAACATACGCACAATGTTAATACACGGAACAAACGCAGGCTGCAATTTCCCCGTACTAGACTATCTAAAGTTAGTCATTCTTTTTTGGGGAAAGGGATACTCTTCTTTAATAAAATCCCAGAGGCTCTTTTATCTCTGTCTCTCTCAATAAATTTAAGAAATGTATTAAAGAAAAGCTGTGTAAAAAGGCTTACTATAAAGTCAACGATTATCTAGTTGATAAAAGGGCCTGGGACTAGTGCTAGACAGCCTACCTCTAATTAATTTGCGATATTTGTTTTAAAATAAGTGTTGTTTGATGATTTGCTATTTTAAAAGAATACCGAGAGTTTTTTACGCCGGCTTTTTCTCTCGGCCTACACCCTTATCCTTATCCAATTAAATACCTTAAATACATTGTTAATTTAATATAGATCTATATGGCCTTTTACAGGATATCATTTAAATGAATATTTTCGAAGATATTACAGAGCACTTTGAATTTAGTATCAGCATTGCACCCGTGCGAAGCCGGGGCGGGCCGCTAGTAGAATAATAGTCGTTACAATATCCTAAAACATGAAACAATTAATTCATATTACAGTAATAAACACGTTAAACACGAGGTTTGGTGGTAGGGTCAAGGTAAGTTAAATCGGCTGTTAAGGATACATACAACTTCTCGAGCCAGTCCGAGGATCAGGATCAGAGGATCCACTCTTTCTGATCACAATTTCAGCGAGTCGGCCATGAAAGTCAAAGAAGAAGCGGAAAGGACCAGGGAGCTTTGTCCCGAAACCCATCCGCGGCGGCGAAAGAAACCGCAGGCCCGTCAAATCCTCGCCATCTAAAGAGTGCCCAAGCGGGGAATCAGGGGTCCATGCGTTCAAAAGAAGGGATGGTGATCCATCCTTGCAAGCACTGGACCCGATCTCCCCTAGCTATTCCTAAAAGCGTGTAGCCTGATCTGTGAAGGATACTTGCTGTGTCAAGTATCATCTACAAATTAACAATGGGCGGGGAGAGGCGGACGCAACCGCCGCATCGCATATTGGAACTGTTCACCATCAATCTTTCACAGACATAATCATATTGTTACGAGCTAGGGGATCGGACAGAAAACGCCGCAGATTTCTTCAAGGGTTTATTGTCAATTAAATCAAAACAATATGTTTAATAGAAAATCATAAATAAATCCAAAAATTCAACAAATAATTTAGGGAAATCCACGATATAATAACGACATATTCCGACCTAATTCATATACAAAAGATAATATAAATATCGATCAATCAGTCTGGTTATATAACATATAAAATTTATGTAGACAATACTATTTGAAAATGATTGATTTGTGGAATTAGACCATTAAATACTCACAAGAACTCTCTAGAACAGTCCGGACATTGGTAGGGAACGTTTTGCTTATTATGAACTGATGTATAATGATCCTTTATTGTGCTTTGATTATTCCTTATTATTCCGCATTCCTGACATTTATAACGACTGAAATTAAAGTATATAATTATGTCAATTAGAGAAGTGTTGGCATTGGCATAAGCGAGGTTTTTCTCGATGAGGACACTCAATGCAATGCCAGAGGACTCGCGAGTGCATTACCGACCTTTTAACAATTGGTACGCATATAGTCTATAATCTTCTTGAGATTTTAGAATATGAGAATATTTTACTTATAAAATGTATGGCAAAATCAATTTATTTTTTTATAAAATTTATAATGACTGAAAATCTAAATAAACAAATTATACATACATTAAATGCTTTTTCTTGTGCCTCGCTAATTTTTCTACTGAATCCATTCTTTGCTTGCAAATTTCACACATGTATTTACCATTACTCTGAAAAATATATACCCTTCATTATTTTCAAGACAATGATCTAGACTTGGGAATAAATGACTTCTCTTTGTCAAACATTACATTTGACATAATAAAAATAGCCTGTATGTGAGTACTACATAATCAGGATTAAATTAAGTCCACGTGTTAAGAAAGATATTAGAGCAACTCATGGCCATGTGTAATACCTTTTCAGAATCCCTATTAAATGCGCCAAAATGTAATACAGGATGACTTTTCGGAAGAGTATTTTTGAAGTGAAACTTCTTTATCGGGGTTGGAAAAAAATTTAGTGTAACATTTTTCCGTTACGCGTCACATTTTTCCGTTACGCGCCATGTTGCTTTTTTGAAGTCAAACTTCTTTATCGGCGTTAAAATATGACATATAGTATGTTTTTGACTTTAAAGTTTGACAACGGATTACATTTTCGAAGTCAAACTTCTTTATCGGCGTTAAAATATGACACATAGTATGTTTTTGACTTTGAAGTTTGACAACGGATTACATTTTCGACTTGAAATTTGCTAATCGCAATTTGCAGCAATTAATTTGTAAATTGTATGCTAGGCAGTGTATCAAAATTTACTGTGTTTAAAGAAATAGTTTCTAATAAGGTCATAAAGAAGTTTCACTTCTTACGTGTGTACACCTAGTACATGCACACATTTTTTTTTTCACAGTGGGGTCCGAAGTAAACAAAAAAGTTATGATTTGGGATATTGTTATACTGTATAATTTAATATTATCTTCAATACACTCAATAAACAACTATAAATAGTATGTCTAACGCAAGGACTCACCAATACCAATCTAGTGACTATTATGAAAAAGATACAGGTGTAGGTAGGTTTCTAATTTTAATAAGAATTAATAAAAAAAGTGATTTTTTTATGAAAACGCAAAATAAATTATAACTCTGCAGAAGTTGAGCTTAGGGACCTCCCCTATCCCCTAGTTGCGTTTGATCCACGACTTTTTGGCCACCTTGTATATCGCTTTCATAACTCAGTCATTCAAAATATGTTGTTCTGTTTAATTTGAGACCAGCTCATCTTTTTTTGGGCTTTATCTAGCATTTAAATTTTCTCTAGAACCCAATCATATCACCGATCAAGCATCTTTTGTATTAAAGGCTCGTTATTTTTTGTGTTATATATACTCAAATTATGGCCTTCTATTGGTAAAAGAATTTTCAAAATCGGTTCAGTATACCCAGAGAATACCGCCTACAACCACACACACCTTATCCCTTATAATCTTTAAATGTATAATTCTACTATCCTAATGGCTAGACCGATTTGAATGAACTTTTTTGTATTTGTGGTGCCCTGGATGGTTTAGATTCACAAATCAGCCCGGCAGATGGCGCTGCAGTAGGTATCTAGCTTATATATATAAACAGCTGGTATATATATAAATATTCTGTCTAAATGTTGATAATAAAACATTAAAACAAAAATTTATCCCCCCCCACCCCCTCTCCTATTGTCAGCAAAAGTAAGCAAAGCTCTTAGAGATAATAGTACATAAATGTATTCATTTTTGTAGGAATCCTCGAAAATGCATTTCGATTTCAAGCATAGACAATGTGTGGGTAAAATGTGTAAAAAAGTAAATAATTACTGTTGACGTAATCAAATAAGAAAATCAAAGAAAAGTTTGATCTAATAGTATTTAATTATTGTATGGAAATTATACCTCTAAATGCAGTTTCATATGTTCATTATATATTTCCTTATATATGAATCTTTTTATACAATCCTTGCATTTATACTTGGCATCCATGTAAAGATTTTTCTTTGCCATTTCTTCACGTTCTCTCATAAAGTCTTCCATTGTTATATTCACTAATATTATGTTTGGTGTCTCTGTAAAAATAGTAAATGGTTCATATCCCATATAAATTATGTAATATAAGATATTTTGAACATCCTAGAGCCTGGCTAATGAAAGAAGATAATTGAATTATTTGAAAACTTTCGGATGGCAACACAGAATGTCATTAAATTTCTTAGGTTAGTATGATTTATTGTCTTGATACTTCATGCAATTACTCGTTTTTATTTCTATTATACATTTTTTCCGTATAGTTAACAGGTATAATAGCCTAAACATTGTTTTTTTGATTTTTTGAATTCTGATTTTGATTATTCCGAATAATAGACCACAAGCCCATGAACAAAAAATACCTGTGAAATGACCCAACCTGAATTACGCTTAGTAGGCTGTTACTATATCTGAAAATAGCTCTGAGCACTATGCCGTCATTTCTGAGCGGTACATGTGAGTACGTGAGTGAATGGACTTTCTCATGTACAATGGGGGAATTTCGACTAATTATTAATGTACGGCTTTGTTATAAGTGTATAGATGATTAAAAATAAATGTCGAAAAACCTAGTGCCGTACAAAAGTGATGGTGCCGGAAGTCGGTGCAAATTTTTAATTCGACGACAGTTGCAGGAGGAATATAGGTCATTTATTACTGTACGGCATTTGTGTCATTCCTTTTGGACACATATACAGATACTTTACCCGTAAACGCCGTACATATTTCCAGCGGAGCGGTCGAAAGCCAAGGGTCGGAACCCTACCCCTACACCCATATACCCTAAGGTCATTGTAAAATGTACGGCAACATGTTCAAAATATTATTTAACACGGACAATAATGTTTTATAATTATGCCGTCCAAATATTATAGTTAATATTTGTGTAATTAAATATTCATCGAAATTTCAGGATTTACCAAGTTCTTACTGCTGTAAGATCAGAGAATAATGTACGGCAACTTGTTTTTTTACATAATGTTACTAAATATTACCGTTGTACATTATAGCCGTTCATTATAAATGGCAACAAATAAAAATATTATGATAAAAAATATATGAAATTTCCGAAATTTAGATGACTTTTCAAATGCTCCTAGAGTAATATGGGGAGTAATATTTTCAAAGATTATTGTTATTTTATATGTAACAAATATAAATAAACAAAAAAAACCAGATGCCGTACATTTTACTCCAGATTATTCTTTACAGCTGATAAAAACTTCGACGACGTTTGAGGTGTCCCTTAAGGTCATTAATAACTGTACATATCTGAGTATACTACCATAAGGCTGTAAAGTATATTTACAGCCTTATCGTACCAGCAGAGAGAGGTAAAGGAAAAATATTTTTAACAAAAATATATATAATACAGGGCGTCCCAAAGTTATGAGACATGAAGGGAAAGTACCTTAAATATCGCAGATAGGGTATTTTACTAAAAGAAGGCTTTATGTTATTTATAAAAGTTAGTAATTCTGCATTCAAAGATTTTTTTAAAACTACTTGCCTCGTCTGGAAATCGAACCGGCTTAAATTAAAGCAATTAATTCGAGGCTAATTTTTAAAAAATTTTTGAATGCAGAATTAATAACTTTTAAAAATAACATAAAGTCTTCTTTTAGTAAAATACCCTATCTACGATATTTAAGGTACTTTCCCTTCATTTCCCATAACTTTGGGACGCCCTGTATTGGTAGGCGGTGGTAGCGGACTATCGAAAGTGTACGGCATTTATCTTTTATTGAAGATTGTCTAAAGTATTAATAACCTGTGTTATTGCCGTACAGATAAAAGTCACCGGAAAATGACTCTTTTCTGAGAAAAGTAATTTGCCCCATACACCTATGTGTTCCACAAAAAATGTACGGCATGCTGGAAAATGTTATCTATTTGTGAAGTACTCTCAAGATCATTTAATTTTATGTTGATTCATATCATCATCACCTATATGCTAATCAGACATATGTTGCGACCCTTGGCTTTCGACCGCTCCGCTGGGAATATGTACGGCGTTTACGGGTAAAGTATCTGTATATGTGTCCAAAAGGAATCACACAAATGCCGTACAGTAATAAATGACCTATATTGCTTCTGCAACTGTCGTCGAATTAAAAATTTGCACCGACTTCCGGCACCATCACTTTTGTACGGCACTAGGTTTTTCGACATTTATTTTTAATCATCTATACACTTATAACAAAGCCGTACATTAATAATTAGTCGAAATTCCCCCATTGTACATGAGAAAGTCCATTCACTCACGTACTCACATGTACCGCTCAGAAATGACGGCATAGTGCTCAGAGCTATTTTCAGATATAGTAACAGCCTTCTAAGCGTAATTCACGTTGGGTCATTTCACAGGTATTTTTTGTTCATGGGCTTGTGGTCTATAAAGTTGTGTTGTAGTTTTCCATGCAATGCTAGTCATTTTAAGTATCAATAGTAAAAGACTAAATACGTATAGCATTTAATTCCATAGAAATACAGTTACTATCAATGTAAAAAATAATAAAATAAAATCAAGTAAGTTTAATCCACAAAATATATCATACTAATATTTTTTTAATTTGCCGCGCTTTTTCGTTATCTTCTTTCATTAGCCAGACTCTAATATCAAATATTTTTGTTGGTTCCTTTAAGTGCATACAGGGGTCGCTCTAGCCTGCGAAGTACCTAGGAGACATATGTGCTTCTGTAAGGAGCTAGGCTGGCTTAGTTAGCCACAATGAACCTAGTGAGAGTCTAAATGCGGAAACTGAGTCCACCAACCTTTAACCTTTTAGGTGGGGTGACCAATTGAGGAATTAATTAATGATTTCATAAAGATATTTAATTATTAAACAGTTGGCAATGTTTTAAGGATTTATTATAGATTTACTATGAGCAATTACATAGAAATTAGGTTTTTTTTTTAAATTATAAATACAGAATTAATTTATTTGATTACTAAGCAATTTTAAGTAATAAGATGTTTAATAACTATGATGCTTATAGCATCTTTAATATTTAATGTCTCTTTTTATTTTTACTTACCATTAGTTGTATTGTCTGTGTTTTTATTGAATGGTTTTACTTTTTTATTAGCCGTTTCCTTGTTTAACACTTTTTTTTTTACATTTTTCAATTGTTTCATCCTTATCTAAAAAACTTAGTTCAACATCTTCCTGTTTAACTAACAGCAAATCACATTCTGAAAATAAACATATTTTGTTGGGCAATTAAAAAAAATTATAAATTTTTAATCTTAAGTAATTTTTTATGTGTTTTCAAAGTGTCATAATAAAATAAAAGGTAGTTAACTAATTAGTTAAGTATGTTCAAAATTGTAGTTCTGATGACTGAGAACATTGACAAAGTTTATTTAATTTTTTATCAATAAGGAAACATAACAAATACAAGAAATATCAAAAAATATTCACAAGTGTCTTTAAATTGTGTCTAAAAGTGTCCTTAAGTAAAATGAAGACAATAATAGGCACAAAAATAAAAATGTGTGCGTGTACTAGGTCTACACACGTAAGTGAAACTTCTTTATGACCTTATTTTTTGAAAAATGATCTACTATATGCAACTTTACAGAAATTGGTTAAATAAAGTTAAATTAGATAAAGTTTAACAAAAGGCTTTTATTATCATAGACATGAATACAAATACAATTATTTAATTTTAACTTATTACTGTACTACTATGTAGTACTAAGATTATTACAGAATTTCATTAATTGTAATAGAATTATTAGTATTACTATCATTGTTATCGTTATTATATATTTTTGTTACTAATGGCTTCGAATCTCTTCGGATCAACCGTGGTAGGGACAAGAAAAAGATGGCGCGTAACCGAAAAATGTGACAAATGTGTGTAAAGTTTTTTCCAACGCCGATAAAGAAGTTTGACTTCAAAAAGCAACATGGCGCGTAACCTGCTACAAAATTTCTCCCATACGTCAATAAAGAAGTTTCACTTCAAAAGATGGCGCGTAACGGAAAAATGTGACGCGCAACGAAAAAATGTTACACTAAATTTTTTTCCAACCCCGATAAAGAAGTTTCACTTCAAAAAAATTGATTAATTAATTTACTAAATAAATTATTATTTATAATATTGATCGTAGATAACTGAAAAACTCTTACCTCCTGAATGGATCTTCATTTTTTTTCGGATTCTGTACTCTTTGGCACGCTCTGCGGCTGATCTTTTCTGTTTTTGATGATTCACCGCTAGAGCTTCTTTTTTTTTTCCGAGCTCTATACTCTCGCATTCGCTCTGCAGCTGTTTTTGGATAACCAGGGTGGATTGAAGAAACATCATTCGTTGCTTGAGTTTCATTCACACAGATATGGTTTGTGGTAGCAACTGATGCACTGAGTTGTGAACAATGCCGATGATGGACATCAACTTGAACAGTAACTGCATTTGAAGATTCCTCAGGATTTGGCGATATTTCCATCGTTGAATCTAAAAAAAATAATTTATCAATTTACAAAAAAAATATATATATATATATATGTATTTATATACATATATGACAAAGGTTAAGCTTAAATAACTTGAAAACTTGAAAAAAAAATGTGTGCGTGTACTAGGTGTACACACGTAAGAAGTGAAACTTCTTTATGACCTTATTTTTCGAAAAATGATCTACTATATGCAACTTTACAGAAATTGGTTAAATAAGATAAAGTTTAACAAAAGGCTTTTATTATCATAGACATGAATACAAATACAATTATTTCATTTTAACTTATTACTGTACTACTATGTAGTACTAAGATTATTACAGAATTTCATTAATTGTAATAGAATTATTAGTATTACTATCATTGTTATCGTTATTATATATTTTTGTTACTAATGGCTTCGAATCTCTTCGGATCAACCGTGGTAAGGACAAGAAAAAGATGGCGCTTAACCGAAAAATGTGACAAATGTGTGTAAATTTTTTTCCAACGCCGATAAAGAAGTTTGCCTTCAAAAAGCAACATGGCGCGTAACCTGCTACAAAATTTCTCCCATACGTCGATAAAGAAGTTTTACTTCAAAAGATGGCGCGTAACGGAAAAATGTGACGCGTAACGAAAAAATGTTACACTCAATTTTTTTCCAACCCCGATAAAGAAGTTTCACTTCAATAAGTATATTACATACACAAAAGACAAAACAACAATATAAAAAGGCGCTTTAAAACAGTAGGGGAGCATAAAAACATATAAACTTTGAAAAAGTGAGTGTTATGGGTGTTCAGATTTCATCATTTGAACATGAACGAACTGCTGACATGGATTCGATGTGTGCTAAATATAACAGCTGAAGAGCAATTTTAATTATATTTTATTTAAATTTTAATCAGCTGTTGACTCAGATCATATGTGTTCCATATTTTAATAGCTGAGGTTGCGCGATACACCAACAGCTCACTAGGAAAATATTATGTATGTGTGAATAGGTGTAATTAGTATTTAAGATATTGTTTTATAACAATAAATCAGATTTGAATATTGCTTTGTCTTGTTCATTTCTCGCTTCCTCTCAAAGTGGCGAAGACTACTTCAAGCCCTTAATTATCGTGGTGAGCCTGCCCGGTAGCTTTGAGATAATCCCACTACCTCGAACCTTTGATCCTACCCGTAGGGCTCCGTCTGTTACCTTAGGTCTCTTGGTGCAGACATCCCGTACTTATTTATATATTTATATATTCACTATTTATGTGTTAGGGTACGTCTGTAGGGCTTAGGGATCCGTAGGGTTGTTAGGTTCTTACGTCTCACCCTCTCATATATTTAGTCATTTAGTGCAGCTTGCTTATACATACATTACATTTACTATTCAGATACTCCTGTCATTAAATACATATAAATCTTAAACACACTTTTCACAGTCCACTAACTAGCAAGCTGTTCATTGGTCCTTCGAAAAAAAAATTGAACTACGCGATTCCTCCCTTTCCCCGTAGGGACTAACGCTTGAGTGACCCACAGGCTGGTGAACCCCAATTGCATTAGTTTGTGGTGATCTTGAGTACGTAGTTGTACTAAGTGTATTCTGTTGGAAAGCACTCTTGCGGTAGCGGATCGGTCACTGGCCTTCCACCAGCGGATCTCACCAGTGTTTTGAGAAGTCGCATATACCGTACTGAGGGCGCAGATACGCGCAGTACTTAGTTAGTTGGCTAGGGTTAGGATAGGGAAGAAGATATTTTGAACAAAAGAAGACTTACATAAAAGACGAAATGGATATACAAGAAATTAATACATTAATACAAAGTCAGGAGAGTGACAGCCTAGAAATAAAACGACTATTCAATAACCTAAGAAAGGATTCTAGTTCGAGGAAGACTGGGAGTTACTTACAAGAAAGACGACTGTTATTTAAAAACATTTTTTCACGAGCAAGAAATAATAATGATATTTTGAAAACAAAACAGGACATTCTCTCATCACATGATTACATTAAAACTAACTACTTCGAAAAAAATATTAAACAAATATATGATGCTGCAATGGAACAACTAGATAAAGACGAGAAAAAACTACAGGAAGTGCACGATATTTTTCACCCTTCAACATCATTTAAGACATACGACAGTAGCAAGTATAAAATTCAACAGTTCAGGATGAATCAATTAAAAAATAAAATTAACCAAGTACAAACTGCAATTGAGGAGAACAAACCTAATTGGTTCTTACAATCCAACCTACAGAGCTTACAAAATCAGTGGAAACAAATTGAGTCAATGCACGAAGAACTTTTAATTAGCGAAAGTTCACTCGATCATGAATATTTTTCAAATAACATCTATGAGACAATACAAGGCCAGTATGAGACTAGTGTAGAATTAATTCAAGAAAGAATTCATTCCACCTTTATTTCGACATCATCAAGGTCTGGGAAACTACCTCAGATAAAGATACCGATATTTTCCGGAAAATACGACTCATGGGGAATATTCAAAGATTTATTTACAAAAATTATTCATGAAGATAACACGATATCCAGTTGCGAAAAAATGCAATATTTAAAAAGTCACGTGCAAGGAGACGCGGCAAAAATAATACAATATTTACCGATTAGCGAAGTTAATTATGTCACCGCGTGGAATCTACTGACAGAGCGGTATGACGACAAACGCAGAATAAGCATGGAGTTACTTGACAAATTACTAGATTTACCCAACATTAAAAAATCGAACACAAAAAATTTACAAGAATTATATGACTCTATAAATGAATGTTTAGAATTATTAAAACAACATGGTAATGAAGTAGTATTATGGAATCTCATATTATGTCGGTTACTAAGTCGTAAATGGGATGACGAAACCAACACTAAGTACGAAGAACAGCTCGATAATAACAACGAAATACAAGACTTCAAACAAATGATGTTATTTCTACAAAAACGTTTCAAAAGTCTTGAAAAATCGGACTTTTCATCTACATCTGTATACAAAACATCGTTTATAAATGAAACCTCAACATCATTTAATAATAATAAACAAGTAACGAATAGAAATTTAAATTTCGATCTGACCCAGTACAATGAACCAAAACGTAAATATTGTTGGTATTGTGACATCGATGGACATACAATTAATTATTGCTCCCGATTTATAACAATGAACGCAATTCAGCGAAATAATGTTGTTCACAATAAAAATATGTGCCGACGCTGTTTAAACCATATCGCATCAAAACAATGTGTGACAGAGAAATTTAAGAACTGCGAAACATGTCAACGACCTGACCATAATACGTTACTTCATGTAGACAAACCGACGAAACAACTTTTTGAACCAAAAGACAAAATATCATGCACGAACCTGCATACAGAAAATTTAACAACTAATGTGATGAGTAATATAACATCGAATGTTTCTGGCACATTAAAACATACAAATAATACCGTACTATTAGCCACAGCTATGGTACAGACTACTTCATACGACGGCATGCCACATTTATTGCGAGTTTTATGTGATCAAGGGTCGGAGTCGTCCTTTTGCACAGAAGAAGTGGCGCAATTATTGGCATACCCAAAGAAAAAAATCTGTGCTGACATCAAGGGAATCGGGGATGAAGAACCGAAACAATCGAGCTACAGTATAGATATAACATTACGACCAAGACTTTCTAGTGATTATAAATTACCTGTATCACTGGTTGTATTATCAAAACTTACATCTTCACTACCAAGTAATGACGTACAACAAATACAATCGCTTTGGTTAAAAAATAAAGTGATTGCAGACCCGACTTATTAAAAAAAGGGCCGATAGACATAATATTAGGTGCTCAGGAATACAGCAAAATCCTTTTAAAGGGGTTTGAAAAACTAGAAGACGGTATACTTGCTCAAGACACGGAATTTGGGTGGATACTATCAGGATTTTGTTCCAGAAACAAAAACAATGGAATAAAGGTACTTAGTTGTACAACACGCACAGAAGAAGTAAAACATTTAACTAAATTTTTGGAACCGGAAGAGATTCCACAAAAAACGACTTTAAACAATGACGATACAAACAATAAACAAACAGTGATTTCAAATAATTTGGCAAGAATTTGTTATCACAAGTGTAATAGGAAACTAAAGACATTTAATATCATGTTTACACTTTTATTAATATTTCAATTTTTTTGTACTACGATAGCGGTAGAAACTTATAGTATTGAGAAGATTGGTCCAGGGTTTTACATCGAATACATTGGTAACAAATTACTTAATGTATCGCTATTGTACCCATTACTAAAAGCTTACGACTTCAATACTAAATTAAGACGTAAAATGAAGCTAGGAGATAGACGACTACACGACAAAACTTAGGAGGATTATGAAAAATATTTACTTATACAATAAAAAATAAAATAAAAATACAAATACTTTACAAAATAATACAAATACTTATACATTTGGGCGACAGCCGCCAGACAACTACAAAACTACATTACAAAACAATACAAATACGTATACTTTTGGGCGACAGCCGCCTGACAAATACATTTATACATTACAAAACTATACAACTACATTACAAATAAATACAAATACATTTAAAAGGCAAAGACGACGACTTGGGCGACAGCCGCCATATAACAATTTACAACACGACATATCCAAATGGATAAACCAAAAATAAAAGACAATGAATATTGTCACCGTTCTTAAACACATGGACGATTAGTGCAATGCTTGATAGCTGCAGGACGATTTATAGACAAGATAAGAATAATATTTATAAAAAGAAGAAGGAGAAGAAGAAACTCAAGTTTATAATATTTTAAACTTATACTTCAAGACTTATTAATAACAAAAACATATATAACTATTAGTATTTAATGTCACCTATTCACACTTTATAAGCGTATGCAGAAAATACAAGTATGTTTACGCAACACATATAGATACTTATTACCTATAGCCATTGAATTAATAATTATAAACAAACGCCTTCTTCATGTAACGTAGCAAAGCTGTTAATTTAACAAATAACATTAAAACGATTAACTAGACTAGAAGAAAATTGTTTTGTGTCGCGGGGGGAAAAACATGCAGTTAATTAATAAATAACTGCATTGTTCAGCACATTTTTTAAATACATGAACTATTTTAAAATGTTTTCATTTGAATTTTACTATTTCAAGATTATTTCAACGTTAGTAAAATTAATTATTTTTATTATCACGAATAACAGACAGCATGCGGTGCCAACACAACAGACGGGTCTACGGTCATCGAACGTGAGTGAAGATTCTAACTAAGGCAACAACCTGCTTCCACAACGCACCACATCGCGCGTGCAGGAGACTCTACAGCTGTACCAGCCTTTGCAGACTCTGTGGGGCGCCAGAATGTTCAGATTTCATCATTTGAACATGAACGAACTGCTGACATGGATTCGATGTGTGCTAAATATTAACAGCTGAAGAGCAATTTTAATTATATTTTATTTAAATTTTAATCAGCTGTTGACTCAGATCATATGTGTTCCATATTTTAATAGCTGAGGTTGCGCGATACACCAACAGCTCACTAGGAAAATATTATGTATGTGTGAATAGGTGTAATTAGTATTTAAGATATTGTTTTATAACAATAAATCAGATTTGAATATTGCTTTGTCTTGTTCATTTCTCGCTTCCTCTCAAAGTGGCGAAGACTACTTCAAGCCCTTAATTATCGTGGTGAGCCTGCCCGGTAGCTTTGAGATAATCCCACTACCTCGAACCTTTGATCCTACCCGTAGGGCTCCGTCTGTTACCTTAGGTCTCTTGGTGCAGACATCCCGTACTTATTTATATATTTATATATTCACTATTTATGTGTTAGGGTACGTCTGTAGGGCTTAGGGATCCGTAGGGTTGTTAGGTTCTTACGTCTCACCCTCTCATATATTTAGTCATTTAGTGCAGCTTGCTTATACATACATTACATTTACTATTCAGATACTCCTGTCATTAAATACATATAAATCTTAAACACACTTTTCACAGTCCACTAACTAGCAAGCTGTTCAATGGGAATTAAATATCCTATGTATGGGGGCACGAAACTCAATGTTAGTATGAGTAACAGGTAAATCAAATATTTTGCATAACTGAAGAGATTTAACATGAATATGAAACTTTATTAGTCCCTATATATGTATTGAAGTTAAGCTGCATGATTTTAATTACATATTTGAAACAATATGTTTTAAACAAACCTGCATTATTATCAGATCCATCCTGGATTTCATCACACACTTGATCATCTCTTTCATCATTTTTCTCCAACTTCACTCCAATATTACTGGTTTGTTCCGTTGACGTTTTCCTTTTTAACACTTTTTTTTTACATTTTTCAATTGTTTCATCCTTATCTAAAAAACTTTGTTCAACATCTTCCTGTTTAACTAACAGCAAATCACATTCTGAAAATAAACATATTTGTTGGGCAATTAAAAAAAATTATAAATTTTTTTAATGTTAAGTAGTTTTTTATGTGTTTTCAAAGTGTCATTTTGAATTAAAAAGTAATTAACTAATTGGTTAAGTATGTTCAAAATTGTAGTTCTGAATTCTGATGACTGAGAACAATTACAAAGTTTATTTAATTATTTATCAATAAGGAAACATGACAGACACGTTACAAATACAAGATATGTAAAAAAGTGTCCTAAAATAAAAAGAAGGCAAAAAATATAAACACAGCAATAATTTATAGTAGTATGCATAACAGGCAAATGCAATGTATTAAAGTAAAGTTGCATGATTTTAATTATTTGAAACAGTATGTTTTAAACAAACCTGCATTATTATCAGATTCATCCTGGATATCATCACACACTTCATCATCTCTTTCATCATTTTTCTCCAACTTTACTCCAATATAACTGGTTTGTTCCGTTGAAATTTTCCTTTTTAACACTTTTTTTTTACATTTGTCAATTGTTTCATCCTTATCTAAAAAACTTAGTTCAACATCTTCCTGTTTAACTAACTGCAAATCAAATTCTGGAAATAAATATATTTTCTGGTTCAATTTAAAAAAATCTTTAAAAATTTAATCTTAAGTACCTAGCTAGTATTATGTGTTTTCAAAGTGTCATTTTGAATTAAAAGGTAATTAACTAATTGGTTAAGAATGTTCAAAATTGTAGTTCTGATGACTGAGAACATTGACAAAGTTTATTCAATTATTTATCAATGACATGACAGACACATCACAAATACAAATTATGTAAAAAAAAAAATTTAGGCAAATAAATATAAACACAGCAATTTATAGTATGTTTCAAACAAACCTGCATTATTATCAGATCCATCCTGGATTTCATCACACACTTCATCATCTCTTTCATCATTTTTCTCCAACTTCACTCTAATATCACTGGTTTGTTCTATTCTTGGTGTGAGTTCATCTATTTTATGACTATGTAGATCTATAATTTTAGTTTGTAACTGAAGAATTGGGTGAGATTCTATCTTAAGATCTGTGATATCAGGGCCCTAGAAGTAAAACAAAATAAAATGATAAAAATTTAATGCATTTTTTTTACAAACCTATACAGAAAACAAAGAAATAACTATTATTAAAACTGTAAATGCATCAGATTCAGACAAATTAAATATCATGATGACAGTACCTTATTGCCTATCATGGTAACTTTAACATGTTAATAATAATACTTTTATTAAAGTATGATATATATCATACATTAATAAATGAATTGTGTGTAATACAAGTAATTACATTTCAATAGTAACTTACATTTGGTAAACTCTGCAGCATTAATTGATTAGTCTGAACTGTTCTCACAAATAAATCTGCATTACATGCCAATTTCTTACAAATATAACAAAGTTTTAAACAATCCTCCTGAAAAAAATCTAATGAAATAGGGTCACAAGGTAAAGGTAAAGTATGTGGCAATATAACTAGGGCTAACAGGTTAACTATCTTCATGGCTATTTTCTTATAATAATGAAATGCAAAAAGATAATAGTAATTATGAACAGCAAGAGTAAGAAGTGAGGCATAGGCCATTTTAAGAATTTGCTGTGACATAGTTCTAGTTTTCAAATAATACTACACTAGTCAAATGAAACATAATAAAGTCATTGTGTGAATTCCAGCTCGTTTTGGCATATAATAAGTTTATTATTTTACCTGAAAAGCGACCCGCAAAGGTTCACTTTTTAATTTGAATGTTGATACACTTTCTTCACATAAACAGCCTATGCAGCGTACAATCAACTTCGGATTCAACGTATTCATAATAGTATTTTAAAATTATAAGTATTTCATAATTCATAAAATTTTGAGTTTATTCATTTAAATTTATCGCTTCATTTCAGAATTCAGCATTAAATAAACAATAAGCTGACAAGAAATGTCAAGTATAAAATTTAAGTGACAGCTACAGATCAGAAATTAATTTTCTTATTTAATTTCAATAACGTTAACCGATGATGCATGAGCACGATGTAATTGTTGCAGGTGCTTAAGGTGCGCTTACACGAGGGCAATAATTGCTCGGCGTCACGAATGGACCGATCTGGAGCAATTAATGGAGCAATTTCAATAAATTCAATAAATTGCAATAAATTATTTCGGCGATATTGCTTCTAATTGCTCCAGATATTTCATATCGCTCAATGTCGCAGATACGGTGCGTTTTCCAATTACAGCACTAGAGCGCATTTTGCGGCATAATGCTCAACGTTGAGTGTTCCATTTACAGCAACGCTTCGCACAATTGAGCACTCTCAAAACGAATGCTCTCGCGTGCTTCTCGCAAACAATATACAATACCAACACAGTGACAGAAAATTGACCAGTATTTTTTTTAAGTTGGAATTTATCGAAATTTTCGTTAGTAAATATTATTTATTGTTGAAAAATTTGTAAGGCTTTCGTTTCGTCGTAGATTTTGAAAATAATTAAAGTTATTTCAAACTGCTAAAAAAAATAAATATTAGTATGGATGAAGGTATAAATTACTTACTTAGTTATTTTTTTTATATTCCACATTTAAAATATGAATACAATTTTATTTTAAAATTCGGATCTGTAAACAAATTTATTTTACAGGATTATACTTTAGAAAAAATTGCAATGGTTTTGAAATAGTATATAATTTTTTTTAGAAATCATTAAAAAATATTACTCAAAACGTAAATGATGTAAACTAATTCTTACCTGAAACTAAATATTTTACTGTTAATTTAGCTTGTTAAAACCTTATATTCTTTAAAGGTTTTCTATTATTTCAATAAAAAAAAATGTTAATGAAATAATTTGATGATTAAAATAAGCGTAAAAAGTTTTCAACCAATTATTATTGTTTATCACATTATTTATACATTAATGAGGTTGCTAACTCAATTCATAACATTTTTTTTTACAACACTGACTTAGCGCACTCTGCTGATGCATTTGAAAACTAATTCACGTTCCAATTAAGCTTCAGCATTATGCGGCATTGTGCGGCACTGAGTCGCATAATGCTCTGTAATTGGAAAACGCACACGAATTGACAAATATCCAATGGACTTGGAAATTCCTAGCAATTTTTGTATATTATGTCTCATTCGCACTTGTTTGTTTTGCGGCTTGCCGTCTAAATAATAATAATTTCTAATTACTTTATTCAAAAGTAATTCAAAGTCTGTTCGTGACATTCTAGTAAAGTTTTTGAATAATATATCATCTAATTCTTTACATAATGAAAATTTTGTCCTCTTTGCCAAAAATGATCGCACCCAGATACTCCTATTAATTTTCTTTCTTTTTTGTTTTTGATTAAGGATAAAAAAAGTGCTACAAGCCGCCGCAGCAAGAACAATGTCGTCCATAGCGAGCGAAAACTGAAATGCTCGTGTATGACAGTATTGCCTAGTTGATGAAGTTGCGCCATATCGCTCAATATTGTATTGCGCAGTATTGATGCCTGTTGCCGTTGCCGTAAATTGCTTGATGTAGTCGTGACGTCATAATTGACGAGTATTGACTGGAATTGAGCAGTTTTAGTTGCCCGTGTAAGCGCACCTTTACTTTTATAAAAAAACTATTGGCGATTTACAAGTTTATTTTTATTAGTTTAGATTATTAAGTTTATATAAAGGTGCGCTTACACGAGGGCAATAATTGCTCGGCGACACGAATGGACCGATCTGGAGCAATTAATGGAGAAATTTCAATAAATTCAAAAAAAACAATAAATTATTTCGGCGAAATTGCTTTTAATTGCTCCAGATATTTCATATCGCTCAATGTCGCAGATACGAATTGACGAATATCCAATGGACTTGGAAATTTTTGTATATGTCTCATTCGCACTTGTTTGTTTTGCGGCTTGCCGTCTTGCTGCCGCGGGGCGAGCGAGAGGTCTAAATAATAATAATTTCTAATTACTTTTTTCAAAAGTAATTAATAGTCTGTTCGTGACATTCTAGTAAAGTTTTTGAATAATGTATCATCTAGTTCTTTACACAATGAAAATTGCGGCCAAAAACGATTGCACTCAGATACGCCTATTCCTTTTCTTTTTGTTTTTGATTAATAATAAAAAAAGCGCTACAAGCCGCCGCAGCAAGAACAATGTCGTCTATAGCGAGCGAATACTTAATTGCTCGTGTAGGACAGTATTGCCTAGTTGATGAAGTTGCGCCATATCGCTCAATATTGTATTGCGCAGTATTGATGCTTGTTGCCGTTGCCGTAAATTGCTTGATTTAGTCGTGACGTCATAGTTGACGAGTATTGTATAATAAATCACAACCCATTTTTATCTTTGTTAATTGGTTTATTCTTCACAAACAAGAGTAATTAATTTATATTCACATAGAAACGCTCAAGGAAGAAAAACATATATATATATTCACTTGTCTTCAAAGTCCGTCTGAGTGACGTCTGTTTTCTTCTTTCCTTAGTGTCCTATCTTTATGTTAACACATACATCAAAATCCTAGAGAAAATACTACACAAAAGAGTATGTACATTTTTAGTGCGTATCTACGATTCGCTACATATTTAATAAAACAATGTTCACTTTTTGTTTTTTTTTAAAGAATCAGTCTTCGGTCTTGGGTGCTTCTGGTATCTGCTGTTTGTTATGTTTGCTGAAAATACTTTTGACAATAAATCTACTATATAAAAATAAGTCGGGTTTTCCTTCCTGACGCTATAACTCCAGAACGCACGAACCGAATTCCACGGTTTTGCATTCGTTGGACTGGTCTCGGGCTCCGTGAGGTTTATAGCAAAGAAAATTCAGGAAAAAATTCAACAGAAAAGCGGAATCACCAAACGAAATGTTACATAAAACGAAGCCATCTGGTGGCGAAACGGAGTTCGCCGAGTTTGCTAGTCATCTATAAAACCTTTCATAAATATAAAATTATAATATAATATGGCTATACAGAATGAATTAAAAATTAAACTACATATCTATAAATAGATGTATTTTAAATTATTTCTCTCGCCTGGCAATAAAACTCAATCATGACAGTTACTTTCCGTTGCGAAAATGTTGAATGTTAAAAGAATGTAAGCAATATCCCGCTAATAATGATTTTATATATTCCCTTTGCACTCTAGGTTTTTTTCGCTTGCACGAAACGCCAACTCGAGATGACTTCTTGAATCAACTTCACTGTCACTCTCTATAATTCTTATTGTAAGCCGTCATTCCTCTCACTACATTACTTTCTTCTCCCATGGATTCGTTCGTTTTGTATTTGCCGTGTATGAATGTAACCTAATGTAATGTAATTCAAAGCGGCAAAATCAAATTTGTCCGAACTAGAGGTTAACTGATCCTTCTTTCTTTTTAGGGCTCAAACACATTTTCCTTATTATAATATGACTGTTTTAAACGAATACTACCCTGCTCGTGTTTACACTTTAAATCGGCTTGGCGCGGTATTGGCGCCGCTCGAGTGCAAAGGGCTAATATAGTAGGGATTGGCCATTGATAAATCCTAGAAACAAATGAACTAACATTCTATCAAAATTTAAAATATAACAGTTCTTAGTTTTTTTTTACCTTCTTTTGTGTCTATTTAGAGCACTTCGTTGCGTAAATGTCTTCATGCAAATGTTGCATTCAAATTTATCATTTAAATCATTTCCATGACTGCGTAAGTGAATTTTCCAATTATATTTCTTTGCAAAAGTTTTATCGCATTTCCTGAAACAATGTGAAATTGTAGAATTCTGCTATTGGTGAGTTTTATAGAGGGAAATTCAATATGTTTGCAATATATTGAATATAATTATGTATATATTGCCAATGAAAACTTAACTCTATTACATGAAAATTAAGTTGATGTTTGCTAACAATCAAATACGATTCAAAGACAAGAATCGGGACGTAAGGAAATTGGTCTAATGGGTATTTAATAAATACATATTAGGAGTTAAGCCGCGAATTTTATTAGTATAACAACAGTATTAGAAGAAACAATCACATTCCACTAACTGATAATGACGCAAATATTTCTATTGCATTGGTGACGTTTATTAATCATCAATTTCAAAATAATCGGTTATCAGTTTGACAGTTGACATTTTTGGAATAGGATAATATTTGAGTATGATATGTAGTAATGTAAAACAAGTTTTTCTTACCCACAAACAAATGGTCTTTCTGTAGAATGCTGAAGCCTATGAGCAGTCAACCGCTTCTTATCTTTCATAACTTTACCACATTGATCGCACAAGAACTCATTTTTAATACCGTGATCCTTAAAAAAATTAAATTATCTTTTTAACTGTCGTAACAATGGTGGGTTTGAGTCTCGAGGCAAGGCAGTCAAATAAACGCAAAACTAGTCCCAGTTGTCACCGCCATAGGGGGTTGCGAGACTTAGACAGAACTAATTTAATGTTTTTAATTTCGCAACTGAATTGGGCCTTTATTGCTTTGTATTAAAGAGTTTAATTTTTTTATTGCTTCGTTTTACACAAACATTTTTATTATTCAAGCTAAAATTCTATAAAATTTTGGGGTAACATTCAGTGTCAATACTTTGTAAGACTCTTGTATGACAAAAACATATTAAATTTGGACGTATGGAAGTCAAACTTCGTTATTACAAAACTAGTAGCAACATTTATAACTCATCACTCACTCATCAAATATCATACCTGTAAATGTATATTAAATTTTCCCTTTGATCCAAATTCCACAGAACAATACATACATACATAACGCTTCTTTGTACACACTTCTGGATGAAGAGATATTTTGTGAGATGTTAAATATCTGTAATAAATAAAGTAACTTTTTATAAATAAAGTAACTTTTTTATTTATTTTAGTCATTTTAGACATATTTTAATATATGATTATGTTATCAAATTAATATTAATTATGTTTCATGCAAATACATTATATCCAAAAGTAGTACATTAAGAAGATTTTTAAAAACTCTAGGAGAAAGATCTTGGAATGTTTTTGGTACATTTTTATAAACCTTGATTGCCATTTTATAATTTCGAGTCAACAATAAAAAATAAAAATTTAGGTTTCTACTGAATCAAACAAACTAAAAATTTAAGAAAACAGTTGGTCTGTGAATATTTAATAATATAATTATAATAAAAAAATAAAGTGATATAGAAAATGGATATTTTTTTTTAGACTGCACCTTACAAAAATCACATATTATTATTGTTTTAGACATATAGATTTTCCCTTTCAGGAACAATTGTTATAGACAAACAATCCATTGATGTGAACCCATTAAGCTATCACTACATGATGAATGAATTATCAAAATAAAAACAATATTACCGATCCATATGAAAGCTAGCTCCGCAGACATTGCATACATAATCCTTAATGCCCTTATGTATGTTTTGATGTTGGTCATACCATGTTTTTACATGAAAGCCTTTTCCACAGTCCACACATGTATACTAAAGATAAAAATATTTTCATATCTTTTAATTAATTATAATCCAATCTAGTAAATCTAACACATTTTAAATATTTATGAATTTTATACACAGGATTATTTTTACATAATTATTAGCAGCTTAAGAAGCCTTTCTGCATTCCTATCTTAAACAATTAGTTACACTGGAGATCAGGCTCAAAAACTTTGAGATGTCCACTACATACTAAGCCATACCTAGTGAGGAGAAGACAGACAACTAACCTTATATTCTTTTGTGTGTGTTTTCTCATGATTTTTAAGTACATGACTATACCCACTGCTGTATCCACATTTAAATGAGCAAATAAATTTGTCAGTACTATGTGATTTGCCATGATTCAAAATGCCATATGCATCATTGAACAATTTACCTGTAACATTGAAATAAAAATATATTTAATAATAAAACAATTTTTTACTGGTTTGAAGTTGTGTATTTACAATTATTCAATTGTTTTATTATTAAATGTGTAAAAGTTATGTCAATAAAAGACAATACTAAAAATATATTACTAATTGAAATACCGGTTACGTATGGCTATAACTGACTTCAAAAATGTTATATCAATCGACTATTTTTCTTAATAATATCATTTGAATTACTACTATATTCACAAACAAATGGAGAATGTGGGAATATGTTAAGGGACTGATGGGATTTTCTTATTATACATTTTTATTCACACACATGTTACACAAGAAAGTTTGATATTTATCAAGCAATAAATCTTACCACATATTTTACATACAAATGACACAGTATGTTCGGAACACCTTTGCTCTTGATTGCCTTTAAATTGTGCATCAATAATTCCACTTTCTATTTCCAATTTGATATCTGGTTTCTTTTCTAAATAATGTTTAAAGAGCTTATTTCTTGTTGAAAAAGATTTAAAACACATTAAACATAGATTTGGTTGAAAATCTTTAACTTTATCATTTGATTCTATTTTTACTATGGTATCATTTGTTTTTTCTGCTTTGATAATATCCTTGGAGTTTTCTTCTGCCAAACTAATATTTACACATACATATTCATTACTATCAGATGGCAAATTTTCATTATCACTTATAGGTATATCACAGGTTTCATTTAAATGACTTTCCTGTTTTTTAAATCTCGCTGCTTTCAAAAGTAAAACCTTTTCATTCTCAATAATTTTTTCTCTAAATGATGCAAAGTCATTAATTTTAATGGTACAATCAGTGCATACTTGTTTCGGCAAATCACTGTTTAGCGACACCTAAAAAAAATTAATTTCATAGTGGTCATACATCAAAATTAATGTTTTAATTGGAGTTCAAATTATTTGACAAAGTAGAAGTCTGTTTAGAAGTTGGTTAATTATTAGGGTCGGACTTAGAATCCATGTAAAGGTAGTTAAACGATAGATGTAAACATAAGTCAAACGCCGAGCTACGGTGTAGAAATTAAACCAACAATGTTCATGTGTAAACCAAATCGATAGATGCCAAAAGATAATGGGTGACGCAGTAGTAAACATATTTACATTAAGATAAACAATAACATACTTACCTCTAATAAAAAATATTTATATAAAATTTGGGCCAATCGACTATTTTTTGTTAATTCGCTCATACTTTGGCTAGTTTCTTTATTCAAACAAAATCTGCAGATTTCATTCATTATCAATTATTAAGAATAAGCATCAAACTAAAATTATTTCGCTAGACGTAAAAAATTCAACAAGTAAACATTCGACTTTTATTTATTTATATTTCGCGAGTGACAGCCGGTTAAGTTTAAAAAAAGCGTCAAGTTTCAAAATGACATTGACAATAAAAAAATCTTAAGTGATAAAAATTTCTAACGGCCAAACTTAATATGCAATCTCAATCCAATTTTAGCTGTCATAGATCGACAATTCAATCTATTTCTAAAGAAAAGCATGCCTATATTCATTGCATGGACTGAGATACCAATCTAATTATTCAACCAATCGATTGCCCTCTGTATGAAAACGAATGTTTACACATGCCAATAACCTATCTGTCCATAAAATTTTAGGCTGGTACAAATCGTTTGCCAAAAAAAAATGCTGATTTTCAGCGGTATGGCGTCCATTTGGAACCGTCCGAAAAGTATGGCATGGTGATTGGGTGATGATTAACTGTGCAAAAATTAGCCTGGTACAAATGGTTGAATTTGTGTTATAATCAACGCATTTGCGTCGGCATGGCGGGCTGTAAGTCACACCGGAGAAGTATGGCATTACACTGCCGCCTCTTATTTTTTTATGGACTATCTGAAAATACAAGAATTTTTGTGGAACAAATCGTTCGAAAGTCGTAATTAATCCGACGAGTTCGACTAACTCCCACGCGCTTGGGCCGCCCGCGCCGGTACCAGCGCTATGACCATCAAAATTCCTTTTTTCATTTCGTAATAAGACCCCTGTAGAACCACCATACTGGTACAAATGACCAACTATTTTGTGTCACTATCTCCCGGTCTATAAAACTATGTAGGTTCTGGAGTGTAGAGCAATTTTATGAACCGACATTTTGATGTCGAGGAGTATAATAGCAATCCGCTTTACTCGATAACGTATTATAGTTTAGTATCTACCCCTATTATTAAAATAATACATTTACGCCTACTCCGTTTCCATTAGAACTTGTTCCTTAAATATCTAATAACGATCTCGATAATGAGGCTTTAACGCAAGATCAAAAAGAAAGTCAAGGTTAAGAACCACATTGCTGATGAAGAAAATAATAATGATAATACTGAAAATTGGTGTTGTAACTGTCGCTCTACTATTATAATGATAAGATTGATCTACCTATTTAATATTATCAAAGACAATTAAAGTTGTCTTTGGTCTTATACTTAAAGAAGCACAGACATCTGATTTATATACTACTACTCGCATTAACTTAAAGTTAAAATGATAGAGATCGGTAATAACTCAATGATGTATGATTTTGTATTACATAAAAGTTATGAAGTTATTATTTTTCTTGAAGTGAAGATCACTCGATAGCCGCCATTTGCCCTTCTTTAAGTATATTAGTAAATTTTTCTAATTGTACTGATTATTGAGTTTGACTTTTGATACCACATAGATTATACAGTAGTCGTTTTGCTAAGGCAGTAGAATTATTTAAAAAAATCTTTCAAACATTTCTGAGTCACAATTTGTAAAGATTATGAATCAGCAGGGGTTGAATGATAAGATACCTATTGTTAATCTGTTTTTACAAAACAGTGGTTGATAGTATTCATGGCTATCGGTGGAAAGTCCGCTTCCTTTGATAATGAATAGCGTATTCCGTTTATGACAAAGAGTAAATTTTAGATGTGGCATAGGAAAAAATATAAATTATACGATTTTCAGACCTACCTAATACGAAAATCTTTGTTTCAACTATGTAGGTATACAATAAATTAAATTCGAGAGCTCCTCTAACGATCTGTTTACGGGATTCCATTTCTGACTTTTAAAGTTTGAGTTTCAAGTTTATAATTATTCTATCTTTTAATTTAAATTTGTTTAAACACAATCAAATTATTGTTTAAGCGATAAACATTTAACTATGTATCTTTTATATAAACGCGAATATACAATATTCACATAACGTTAACCAGAACTGCAGTCGTGGTCAGAGATTTGTTAATGAAGTTTTGTGTAAATTGTCGCATCTGTTTACTAAATAATCTATTCATTAAAACTAATGCCTGCAATTCATTTAGTGTATTTGAAATATTTGAACCTCAGTACACATTCTAGTCCCAATGTAGTAACTTAATTTAAGGGGCTTAATTTTTAATTTGTTAAGTTAACCTACTTAAAATGTTAATTCATAGTGTATTTATTTTGTTAATTCTGGAATTCCTTGATGGTGAGTATTTTATTATAATACCTTTACAATTTGACAAAAAAATAAACGTATAAAATGAAAAGTGTGGAACGACAAATTTAAACTTTTTATCATAAGTTTTCAGCAAGACAAAATTGTGACATACGTTTAATATTTCATATTTATAGTAGTAGATATTTATAGTAGGTATACACTACGTATTACTTAGTATCTTTTATTATTTAATCGTAACATAATTCTGATTTAATTAAATGAGATATGTATACCATTACTACAAAAACAATTGAGAGCAATGTTTGGTCGTCTCAACCCTGAGATGTTGTGTTCAAACCCTGGCTTCATCTACAAATTTTTCCATGTTAATCCTTTCTCAAAAAAACATCATGAACCAAGCGCTGTCCACCAGTAAAACCCATGGCATGTCTGGCTGGTCACCTACTTGCTTGATCGTGTGTTAAGATGTTTTTTTACCATGTGTACTGGTAAAAAAACATCATCATGATACATTTTTTATTGATCCACATTAGAGTTGCCTGGAAGAAATCGCTTGTTAGCGATAAGGCCGCCCGTTGCCTAATAACTTATGTAACCTGCTTTCTTTATATGTATGTTTTTGTATAAGGTAACGAAGTGTGAATAAATAAAAAAATACTTTCTCAAAATACATCACTAATCCAGCGCTATCCAGCAGTCTAAACCTCATGTGGAATTGACTCTCAGTGGGGGTCTTCTCTGGGCTATACGACCTCCAACTGTTTAAAAAGAGCATACTCTTGCCGCATAGGCCGGCAATGCACCCACTAAAATGGCTGTCCATGGGGCCTTTTGTAGGAACGTACGCTAGCGGTGGGGTAATCGGTAAACGCGTACCAATTACTTCCGCGCATATGGTCTTGTTAGCATATGCGCCGGGCTTTGCGTAGGGTATAATTTTATGTGCAAAATGCGAATTAATATGCGTTTTCTATCCAATTTTGAAAATACTTTTCAATTCTTATAGTGATTTACCAGGGGGCAAATTGTAAGGATGATGTTAAGTGATACCGCCGCCCATAGACACTCACATTACCAGACGGCTTGCGTTGTAAGAATTGGTACGCTCTTCTCTTGAAGGACCCTTAGTCGAATTGGTTCGGAAATACTTCAGTGGGCAGCTGGTTCCACATAGTGGTGGTGCGCGTTAATCTGCCTTAAATAATTGTTGTGGAATTTAGAAAGATTTATGGCAACTTTAAAATTGGATGGTGCACTTCTGAACCGTGACTTGGTGTCCAAACCATTGCCGAAGATCCTTATATTTATTTATGTTCTCAAACATCACACATGTTAAAATGAGCATAATCATGAAAATATGTTATAAAAAGAATGTGCTCGTGTGAAAATTACATAAGAAGACACAGCGCTAATCAGATCCATGCAAATTTCTGTTTTTTTTTGTTTAACCTATAAAATAAAATAAAACATGTTTATTATGGAACATAAGATACAGTTATCACTTATTCCACGTCATTAAATTTGAATCAGTAGACATCCCTACTCATCGGCAAAGAAGGCAGAGGGTGTAGGCCGAGAAAAAGCCGGCGTAAGAAACTCTCGGTAATCTTTTAAAGTATCAAATCATGAAACAACGATTATTTTAAAACAAATATCGCAAATTAATTAGAAGTAGCCTGTCTAGCATAAGTATCATGTAATTGTTTGTTAAATCTATAAATCTTAACAGATTAATTGGTACATAAACTTACGAAACGGATTCAGACTACGACTGTCGAAACAAAATCCTTTGCAATTTAGTATAAACAGTAACTTCAGTTCTGTAACTTCACAGAATCCAAGGTTGCGACATATGTAAATACGCGTATACAGAAGTAAACTTAAGTTTATGGACCTATTTAAAACCTAAGGTATATAGAAAGAAAGAGCAAACGTTTATTTGATTAAAAATCTATCACTTTAATAAAATATATTAACTGTTTTCATTATTACCCTAATGTCAGTGAAAATGAACGAGACTTACTAAAATCATATTCGACATTTGTGTCAATCTCAAAATAAATCGTAATATTTGTAATAAATAAACACTTATCAGCCGGATGCACACATATGTATGTTTCCGATTCTCAAGCGTAGGTGTACCCTATCGACCTCTGAATTGCAAATTGTATATGTATATACCTACGTTACGAAAAACACTTTGGCAGATTAATTATTAGTACATTCATAATCCAGTGACTCTACAACCCCATGCATCTTAGTTATATTACATTTGCTTCTTCAATGATTTTTATGATAGGTGAACAGCCTTCAGTGCCTGAAATTTGTCAAGCTTTGGATCTTAGGCATACCGGTTTTCTTACAAGCAAGCAAAAGTGTTAGGCTAGTGTGCTTTAGAATCTTATCAATGAGGTTGTAGGTTTGATCCCCGGCCAATGGACTTTCTGTTCCAGATTTTAACATGCGCACGAAGAAAACTACATTGGTTCACAGCCAAAATCTCAATGCACATTTAGGTCACTACGCCAACACTGCTCCATAACCCAAAACCCTAATTCCGTCTACACATATATGTAGTTGTAAATTACTTAATAATAACAGCCTTTTCAGATACTTTTACACTTAAACACAATATTCAAGTTTCTATCATCTTTATCTTTTTGGGCCGGTTTGGCTTGCCTTAGACTCATATCATAAAGTCGACGGCGCGTGTCAGGCACAGGAGGCTGATCACTGACAAATGGTCATGATAAAGATACATAAATCTGAGGCCCAGACCTAAAAAGGTTGTAGTGCCACTGATTTATTTTGTATCGTATTATAATTTATTAAACCGAGAGTCATCTACGAGAGACAATGTTCTCTTTTAGTAAGAAATAAATAAAATAATTGTCTTACATTTCGTCCTTGCTAATAGTGGGTAAAACGATCAATATGGCACTGTGCCCGAACACAAGATTAGACGAGAAAATTCGTAGAAAATAAGATGAAGCTACGAAGAACGGCGTCGCTAATACATTATACGTTTTAGTAAAGTCAAAGCAATGCAAGCTAAAGGTCAAGCATTTATTAAATATATCTTATCTACTCTCACACGTGGACATACAACACAAAAATAAATTATGCCCTAAAATTTTTGGCGACGGATAAAAAATGCTCTTTTTCGTTCCATTTTACACTCATATTTGATAACCAAATAAAGTAAATAAAACCGTACAAATAACATTAAAATATACATGTCTATGTTTAAAACATAACAAACAGCTTTTTTAAGTATTTAAAAAACTGGTGTAAGTTAAAATCTATTAAAATAATTAACTGATGGAATCGAGCTTTCGTCAACTGTCATTTTCATACAAAGGTCTATCCACGGACACCGATCCGACCTCCCATGGATAGCTTGTACGACAGATGGCTATTACAATCCGTCGATTGGTTATTGGCACACTAGTTACAACATTTAGATTAAGATTTCTATCTCAGATGGTTAAAAATGGATTGGGATAGGTTATTGGGTTCGAGCGTAAATCAATTTCAAACGACTCTCGTTTAAAAGCTCAAAAAGTTCAAATATTTCGAGCGAATACAAATTGTTCGCTCTTGTATGAACGCAACAATACAGTTTCAGAATTGCACAATTCAGTTACTTCATGAAATAAATGCTTTATATTAAATTGATAGCAATTTTTTTTTTAAGCATGCAGATTGATTTTTTGTGAACAGCTATTGTCAGATATAAAAATATAAATGATGTAGGCGGGAAGTACCTATGTCTTATTCTTTGTTCATAAAATATAAATTCGTACAATTGAAGGATTTTATCGAAAATCTATATTTATTCTGTCGTTTTTCACTGTTAACACAATGTGATACAAAGAAATTAAAAAGTACTTTATACAAAAGAGTGCCTTCAGACCTATTTAAGAATAAGGGCTGTTAAATTATTCGATAATGTATGAAGTCCCATAACGCCATGGCATAAATGTATTTTCATTTAATTAAAACGGGGTAATTATAATTATTAATAATTAATTTAATTGACGGCTCATTGGTCTAGTGGTTAGTACCCCTGACTGCGAATCCATGGGTTCCGGGTTCGATGCCCGGCTGAGACAAACATCGATGTCATGAGCATTTGGTGTTGTGTCTTAGGTCTTGGCTGTTTAAATATGTATTTATATGTCTATCTATCTATAATATGTATGTATATCCGTTGCCTAGTACCCATAACACAAGCTTCACCAGCTTAGCATGGGACTAGGTCAATTGGTATGAATTGTCCAATAAAAAAAATAAAAAAAATTACATATTTAAATATTACATACAAATTCAATAGAATGTGTCGATGTAAAGTATCCAGATCTTGATACTTTAGACAAATTTATTATTATTATATTATATAGTGAGTCACAACGGCGTCATGTTCACTAAGTGGTATTCTGACTGGCTGCAAGATACAACTGAAAATATATCCGACGAGGCAATCATTTTTTGGTTTAGGTACTTAAAACATGTTAGGTTTAATTTTGTATAGAAATAAATCAATATAATTGCATCGGCCTAACTAAGTGCTGTCGCTTTTTATCACAGTGTAAAAACTATTTTACAGAAAGGGAGAAAAGACAAGGATTTAAGTTTTAAGGATAAGACATCATATTATAATAATAATTCTTTATTTTCTCCCATATAACATTTGAAACAGAAATAGTTATTTCGACTATGTGTTTGTATGTTGTTCCTACGAGAATGTATGTGCGTGCTCCTATTTCACCATGCCTCCTGCTGATAGAGGACATGTCTTTGTTTTTAATTAATATTATTATTAATTACTTAAGATGTCATGTAGAACAAGGTGTAATGGTTGCAGCTCCTTACAAACGTTGTGTAAAAAAAACATGGCGATTAAAAAGAGTGGCGGAGAGTTTATTGCCAGTTCTTCTTTTCCGTTCTACGCCCTTGATTTGAGAACTGGCACTAAATGTAAAGTGAGAAGCATTTTGACGATCATAAGTGCACATTGTGTTACCTATATGATTATTGACTTTTGAAACAAAAACGATTACAATTAAGAAGGTATTGGAAGACTGGTTTCCAAGCTAGGTAATAACGTGTGATATGCATAACCAGAAAATATATTATACTATTGAACTGCTTGCAGCCTCATCGTCCCTAACGATATCATGTGTGATGCCGCGACTGAAGCACGGCCGAGTACGTCTGAAGCAGAGGGCCAGAATCGCTAAGTTCGATTGTCAAACGAAGTACCAACTTGTTGGCAACGTGTATACCTATTGTCGTGATGGAGAATGGGATGTACCATTTCCCGTTTGTGTTCGTGAGTATTTTGTGCACGTGTACGTAATTAATAAGTCGATTTAGCAATAATTTCAATAATTGTATTCTCTATACTTTTTAAAACCTTCTGTCGATCCGAAGTGGTGGAGGCCTGATGACCTGTAACACAGGTACTCTTACCTTTAGCAGGCATCAGTCGCACACAAACTAGCATTATCCCTAAATAGAAGAAAGACAAGTATGGTGTGTGGCTTCGACGTGCGACTCTCATCGCTGTTTGAACACTGAACCAATGAACAATCTATGTTATACTAACACCCGCTCGTATTGGTCGTATAGTGAAGGAAACATAGTAAGGAAACCGTGCCTTTAGACAAAAAAGTCCTTTCTAATAGGTAAGTCCTCGACAAGTCTAGTCGAGTACTTACCTATTAAACATACCCAAATTGTATAAAAATATAATTTTATGTCATAGAATTAGCCAAACCTCTTAATTATATAACTTAATAGTTTTTGTAATATTGTAATGTTATTAGTATTACTTTTTCTTTTTAATGCTGAAATTAAAAAAAATATATGTCTTCTATTTACAATTATTTTAAAAACCACAGTTTTTAATGTCTTTACTGATAATAACAGAGACCTGATTTAAAAAAATAAATAAAATAAAACAGTGGTGCTACAACCTCTTTAGGTCTGGGCCTCAGATTTCCGACTCAGTTTCATGATCATTTTTCAATGTCATAGGCAAGTAGGTGATCAGCCGCCTGTGCCTGACACACGCCGTCGACTTTTTGGGTCTATGACATGTCGGTTTCCTCACGATTTTTTCCTTCACCGTTCGAGCGAATGTTAAATGCATATATAGAAAGAGAGTTCATTGGTGCACAGCCGGGGATCGAACCTACGACCTCAGGGATGAGAGTCGATCGCTGAATCCACTATGCAAACACTGCTCAACAAGAGAGCTGATTTAGTATCTTTTAATCACCAGGGCCCGGTTGTACGGTTCCTTCAATCAAGAATGGAGTTAGAATGAGCCAGTTTGAAGATGCCTGGATCACGTACTTCTGTATGCCAGGCTTCCAGCTCGTGGGCTCCCAGGTCATCTACTGTGATGGGACCAGGTGGAATGCCTCTGCTCCGACCTGTGTTGGTAATAGACTATACCTCCTTTAGTCATCTTTATTTTATTTTTTCCTGTCAAATTCTGTTTCAGTATTGTTAATAGACTTAAATAAATAAAAATATTTTTTTATAGGTTACAATCTTAATATATATATTTCTTATGTGCGTGTGTATGTGACTGAACTTCTCTCAAACGACTGGACCGATTTTGATGAAATTTTTTGGTGTGTGTTCAAGGGGATCTGGGAATGGTTTAGATTCACAAATCAGCCCGGCAGATGGCACTGCAGTCGGTACTTTCATACTTTGCTTAATATCCTAATCGCTTTAAATATCATGCAGGACAACGTCTGTGGGGTCCACTAGTAATAAATATAAATTCAATTATACGCTATATAAAAACTTTATTCTCTAAGCTACAGATACCGTAGAGAGTCCCAAACTTAGCTGTGACTTTGAGAATCCAGACCTCTGTGGATGGAGGCAGGATGAACTCCACGATTTTGACTGGAGACGGCTGAATGGTAACACACCAAGCACATTTGTGTATACGGGTCCTTCTTACGACCACACATTGGGGAAAGGCAAAACTGGTAAGCAATGAATCCGTTGTACGGCTGAATCATGATGCACTTCCTTCGGCTGAACTAAATTGAACCTGCATCAAATAGATGAGATTTTTACAGTGTATTCTGTCCTTATATATTTGGATTTGTAGTTTTCTGTTGGCTGTCTAAATAAAGTTGGGACAAACTTTTAAATATAGTGTTTTTAATAACGTTTATTAATACCTAAACATATAAATTAAATATACAGTATTCCCAATTTTTTTGCCTAATTAGTAATAATAATTAAAAATTTATAAATAGAAAATTAAAAGAAATACGATACTTTTTCGTTGAGCGAGGAAAGCACCAGCTCTGGGGTCACCGGAGTCTTAAATCAAATTAAACTTTATGATAAAAAGAAATTCGTATAGTGAACTTCTCAAATGGTTTGATCTATCCTTTTTATATGAATACTTAACGTGATTTTTCCGCTATCAGGATGTATACTATGCATAGTTATCGTAGCACGATTGGAAGAAACTGCTTATTGTGATATAAATTGTGGTATCTATTATTATTACGACAGCTTCTTAAACACCTAAAAAACGAAACAATTAAAACTCACTGTTTTGTAGATTTACGTATTGGTAACGAAGGCCTTGGTACTTTACCGTCATGTACATCTTCGTACTGTTAGTAGATTCTACAAAGATCCACCCTGAATTGCTCTAAGTGTTTACGAGCGCTTCCTCTAAAACAGTGTAAAATCTTAGTTTTGAACTTTCAGGGTATTATATGTATATAGAAAGTACATCAAGATTAGAAAATGACACAGCGCGTTTCATATCACCGATTTATGATACTTCATATGCAAAGGACGGGTGCTTTTCGTTTTGGTACCACATGTTTGGAAAGTGAGTATCTTTAAACATTGTGTTTTTATTATCTTTACTAATTTTATTAAGAGGTAAAGTTTGTGAGGGGATATCTCTGGAACTACTGAACAGATTTTGAAAATTCTTTTACCAATATAAAGCCACGTTATTGGCGAGTGGCATAGGCCGAAGAATTAAAATTTCGTTTAGATTTTAATAATGTATTTTTAGCAACCAGGAGTAATAATCAAATATAAAAAAACAATTCGAAATAACCTAAGAAGTGATTTAACCAAAAATAACTTCATTAAAGAACAAAACACGGTATATTTGAAATCACACTAAATCTACTTTAAAATTAATCTTATACAATCAAAACAACACGACTTTGGGTATTTTAAAAACAACCGTTAACCGTAAAACAATTACACAAAAACCACCGAATAAAAATAACATAGAACGAACAGTATGCGCGGCCTCGATACCAACCACCTTACTTGTTTACGTCCGAGCAACCAATGAGCCCGTAGCACATTGAGGCCTTTCTTTTTTAGCAGGCGGGTGGGTATCGAAACTACCCACTGCAATTTCTGCTTATACGGCCTCTCCTGACCGTGCACCGTCCTCGGATGCACTGTTGATCTCTTCTTTGGAAGAACTGGTGGAAGTCACGGCGGTATCTTGGTCGCCATGTTCACCCATATGTGGTTCGAGTGTTCTTGAGGAAGCAGCAGGACTAGTACACGCTGCTGAAGGCTCACTAACGTCATCGGGGTATTCGTCATCGCAATCTGTGCAACAATTATTCTGTTAGTTAATCACGACGACATTACGTTAGTGCCTAGTCTGTCATTCATCACTCATCCAAGGCCCTGATTCAAAAGCACACTTTCACAACTTTAGCTAAAACACTTCGCTTTCAAAAGTATGCATACATCATCTCACAAAACATCTCACACATTCTCATACTTGAACTTGTACAAGTTCCCCCGTTAGCAACGTAAACCAGGACTGCGCCTGAAGTGAGTTCAAAGAACACACCAACCGGGACAGCGCCCGTAACACTCTCAAAAGAGCACCAGCACTAAGGCTGCCAGGACTGCGCCTGAAGTGCGTTCAAAGAACACACCAACCGGGACAGCGCCCGTAACACTCTCAAAAGAGCACCAGCACTAAGGCTGCCAGGACTGCGCCTGAAGTGCGTTCAAAGAACACACCAACCGGGACAGCGCCCGTAACACTCTCAAAAGAGCACCAGCCCTAAGGCTGCCAGGACTGCGCCTGATATGTATTCAAAGAACACATCTTCCGGGACAGCGCCCGCCACGCGCACAGGATGCACGTCTGCCGAGGCCCGCTTCTCAAGGTTGCTGGCCTCAGGAACACACCATGACCGCACCACATTGGCAGTCCGTTTCAACCAGCAAGGCACACAGTTGCCTCACACTCGCACGCAAGGGAACATATCACGCGCGCATCTTTAACATAAGGAAATAACATATTAGTAACAGGGTTGAAACTTACTTTCGAAAATGCGGCACAACTCTCAGGGCACCATACTTTTCCCATGATGTAATGGGTTGACGTGGGGCTCTTGGGATACGTTTCTTAGAAATGCACCCTGACCCAGTGGGTCGTATATTTACGAACAAATTGCATTAAACCGGGAAACCAAAAGTGTTTTAAAATTAGGTCATAAGTGTTGTCAACCCCGATATGTTCATGCTCGTCATGGAATACCCTCAGTAAGCTAAGCCTGTGACTATTACGTATATAACAAAGCAAACGCGGCTCCTCACCAACGGGTGAACAACGATAATAGAGCACATCGTTTTGACATACGTATCGTCTAGGGTCTAAATTACCTTCTCCGAGCTTACGTATGAGATCGGCGGTCTCGGAGTCAGCTGATTTAGCCATCTGCGCCCAGTTCAAGGGCCGTTCTATGTTATTGATTTGATTGAAGTTCCATTCCTTACAAAATGATTTAACTAACTACAACACTAAAATCTTAATTGACCAAAAATAATAATTAACACAACTAAAGACCGAAACTAATACAGAGAATAACCGCTAAACACAACCGAAACGTCCGTCACATCTGAGCCAAACGTAGAATACCCCCAATCCGCTGTTCCACTCCTCTTTTATAACCTGATACTCCGTCCGGTTTGCTGGTTGGGAATTTTTTTCTAAGATGGCCGTTCCTGACAGTGCAGCGTCCTCGACCGCAGCATCACTTGCAACCTGCTCATAATTGTCTAGCGCAGTCTCTGTAAGGGAACTTGTAGTAATCTACCTAGCTTCGTGTCATAGCCTGAAGCGTATATCTTGAATTGTAGGGACGAAAAATTACATTTATCTCTATTTCTCCATTACCAGAACCATGTGCGCAAGCGTGCACTCAAGCGCACATAGATAAGGTCTATCATAAAGCAAATATTACAGAATTAGATAGCTTCAGACTTAACACGAATAAAGATAAAACTCAGTATATTTGCAATACACTGTCACAACGACAGTGGCTCCTAGTGCTCTCCTAAGCGACAATTTGTTAAAACAGAGACCCATACATTTTGCATGTTCTCTAAGTGGCCTAAACACATTAGCACCACAAAAATTTGAAACAGAGACCCATACCTTTGCATGTTCTCTATGTGGCCTAAACACATTAGCACCACAAAAATATGAAACAGAGACCCATACCTTTGCATGTTCTCTATGTGGCCTAAACACATTAGCACCACAAAAATATGAAACAGAGACCCATACCTTTGCATGTTCTCCAAGTGGTCTAAACACATTAGGACCACAAAAGTTTAAAACAGAGACCCATACGCTTGTATGTTCTCAAATTGGTCTAAACACATTAGCACCACAAAGTCAAGTTTCGAAGGAAACTGTGCACGCATCCGGCGTCCCACAACATCAGGAACCAGCTAGTAGCTCTTACTCGTAGCGGTGGCACGGTAGCGCGCGAATAACCTTGTAAGGCCCACGCATGCCAGGGTCCAGTTCACCGGTGATTTGTGCAGTCTTGCTCACAAACACAAAGTCTCCGACAGCAAAGGCGTGCGGCCACCGTCGACTCCCGCTAACGCAGGCATCCCGGCACCATCGACCGGTTGCAAGCAGTTCGGAAGCTCGTCACCTGCGAAGAGTTAAGAGAGCCTCTCGATTGGGATTAGAGTTAGTAATTGCCACATCTCACACTAACGATCTGATGACCAGTAACTCCACAGATCACATATTGATACCAACCAGTAACTGCAGTGGTGAAGTCTGCATGGTACTTTGCTTGGAGATGTTCCTCCAAAGTGAGCTGTAGGTATCCTCCACAGCACGTCGGACCACTGGGAACCTTTGTTGCCTACTTCAACACGTAGCTTGTTGCATTAAAGCCCCTTTTCTATAATCAAAAGTAAAATTACAATCTGGTAAATATACCCACCAGCGGGCAACTCGTGGAAGAAGATCCTTCTTACGTTCGGTGGCCTTCAAGGCATTGCAATCGGTGATTATCTTAAAACTTATACCAACCAGGTAATGCCGAAAATGTTGCAGAGCCTCGACGACCGCCAACGTTTCTAATTCATATGAATGATACTTGGACTCCAAACCCTGGGTAACCCTACTAAAATAGGCTACCACTCGTTTATTACCATCCGTGTGGGCCTGCATAAGCACGGCACCATATCCTGCACTAGACGCTAGGTGTTTAGTTCAGTGGGAAGGCTCGGGTCAAAAATCGCAAGTATAGGCTCGCTGGTTAATTGCTTTAAGAGCTCTTGTTTGACTTGATCTTGTTCGGGTTCCCATTCAAATTTGACGTCTTTCTTAGTGAGACGCGATATACATGCGGTTTTTGTCCCGTACCCTTCAATTTAACGCCGGAAGTATCCAGCTAAACCTTAAAATTGACGTACCTGCTTAACGTTAGTTAGAGTAGGTGAATTAACCAATGCAACGCTTCAATTTTATGCAGACTCGGCCTAACCTGACCATAACTGATAACACGACCTAAGTTCTCTATTTTAGTTGTGAGGAAAGAACACTTTCGCAAATTGACAAAGAATCCAGCTTCTGTCAGTCTTCAAAACATCGCGTAATAGAGAAATACCGTCGTCATTAGACATACTTACAATAAGAACGTCGTCAATGTACATAAGCACACTACCAGCCTCCGTAGTCACCGCTGTAGTTGCTGTACCGGATATTAAAAACGGAGACAATTCCTTAATGACAGCGATCAACTTAGCAAACTCTACACCTTCGAGAGGCGTATTTATGCTGTCAAATTGGTTAGCATTCACAGCATTCACTACTAGTACCCCATCTGGTGTGTGAGTTAGGTATTGTTCACGTTTCGTGCGAATAAACGTGACGCCATCACGATTGAGAACGTCTGTCCCTATTATGAACGGCGTATTCATATACAACGCGGGTACAATGAGAAAATCAACTTCAAGCGAGATATTACGTAGTTCGATAGTCAAAGTCATATATTTGTCGAGCGACAAACTCTTTGTCACCTATTCCCTTCAAAGAACAGTTGATCGGTCTGCGTGGACCAGGAAAGTAGTTTACTACCGCAGATGATATTAAAAAAATAAAAACATTAAGTGCTTAGCTAGAATTGAATCGAATTTGCGGATAGACTTAACATACGTGGCTAAAAATGAGACCAGATTTTCTGTCGTTAAGTCGGCCTTAGTTGCTCGCAAGCACTTGTACATCACTAATACCAAAAATCACGATTTGGACCATAAGCTCTTCACTTAATCATTTTACAAGGCGTAAACGCAACAACGAACAACGCGCGTATTCTGCGTATGACAGAAACTTTTCTGACGTCGAGTTAATAACTTCGTGGAGAATTTGCGCGTAGTTCACCTTTTGCGGACACAAGAACCTAAACTCTTTAACGAAATTTGGCCATGAACGCTCGTTAGTTTCCACTCGTTTAACCAGGCTTTTGCGTCACTTCTTAGGCAATAAGCCACACGCGAGAAGCAATTATAGTCGTCCCAATGGTTAACCTACCATGGCGCGAATGCGAATGCGACCTAACGCGACGCGAACGTAACATAACGCGACGTGAATGCGACCCGTCACGACACTATTGTGACGCGAATATGAACACACTCCATCATGACTTGAACACTGCCTATTGTTTCGCACAGACCGCTTTCGACGGCTACGCTTAATATCAGAGCGAGGCGGCTTCGTCCTAATTGACCGTTCACGGGTAGCACGTGGCAACTTATTCTAAAATTAACGGTTGTTTACAAGGCTTATTTGTGAGCGAAATCCTATCCCACTTCTGATTTTAGCAACCAGGAGTAATAATCAAATATAAAAAAACAATTCGAAATAACCTAAGAAGTGATTTAACCAAAAATAACTTCATTAAAGAACAAAACACGGTATATTTGAAATCACACTAAATCTACTTTAAAATTAATCTTATACAATCAAAACAACACGACTTTGGGTATTTTAAAAACAACCGTTAACCGTAAAACAATTACACAAAAACCACCGAATAAAAATAACATAGAACGAACAGTATGCGCGGCCTCGATACCAACCACCTTACTTGTTTACGTCCGAGCAACCAATGAGCCCGTAGCACATTGAGGCCTTTCTTTTTTAGCAGGCGGGTGGGTATCGAAACTACCCACTGCAATTTCTGCTTATAGTATATACTATATATATTGTGTTATGGTGTCTATTATACGGTGAGTCAGAAGGGCGGCAAATGAAGCCAGTGTTCACTGAGTGGCATTCTGACTGGTTGCAATTTGTCTAGTAGGTATGTTTTTGCCTTAAAGTAAACTCTTTGATGCATTTAGTACATAATTTTCTTCACATAACTTTCATTGCGCAGATCAGTTTTGGTCTAGTGGCTTCAGCGTGCGACCCTCATCCCTGAGGTCGTAGGTTCTATCCTCGGCTGTGCACCAATGCACTATCTTTCTATGTGTTAACATTGACTACACACTGATTACACATTGACTAAAATGTTGACTGCGTGTGTCAGGCGCAGAAGCACTTGCCTATTAGATTGACAAATGACCATGAAACAGATATAGAAATCTGAGGACCAGTACCAGGCGCCACTGGTATCTTTCATTCCATGTATCAGACATGGGCGGCGGTATCACTTAACATCAGGTGAGCCTACTGCCCGTTTGCTTCCTATTACATAAAAAAAGAAAGATTGCGAGTCGAGTTCTTTGTACTTCTATATTACGAAATTTAAATAAGATTTCGCAATTTTATTACCAACTAGCCTGCTACAAATGGGTTTTAAAAAAAAAATTCAAATAAGTTTATCCAACGAAAATGAAGCATTTATTGTGAAATAATTGGAAATCAGCCCCGTACTTTTCCAGTTTATTTAAAAAAAATAAAAAATCCTCTTCATAATATTAAGTACATATAGTCATAACCAACCTCTTAATATTTGCGTGGAAAAAAAGGGATTAAGAAACAGGCAGGATCCCATCTGTCAAAATTCTAAACGTTTTTGATATAAGGTAGATTTATCTCTAAGTTTTTGGATGACAATCTAAGAACAGGGCAGAGACACCATAGACACCTTTTGTAATTTATTATTATACATATTAGTAGCTATTCGCCTCGCTATAATATAGCGATAGTATATTGAACTTATTACCTAGATATCTCTAATTGACCGAAAGCTGCGCTTGAGTCACTGAGCGCATGTAATTTCGCAAGGCAGTAAATTGAATTTATTATCCATAAATTACAGAACGTGCGGTGGATTAAGAGTTTACCAGAAACCCGACAGTGTTGACATAACTACTATGCGTCAACCAGAGAACCGAGATAAATATATTCTATTCGAGCAATGGGGAAATCTCGGTAACTTCTGGTTCCAATCGGTAACGAATCTCACTGATGTCTCGGAAAGCTTCCAAGTAAGGGACCATTTCATTATTATTTTATTAAATTTTTAAATACTTTTTAAATATCAGTTACAAAGAAAAATATTTTTATTAAATTTAATCTTTTTTTATTTTCTTATTTAGATTACAATTTTAAATTGGTACCTACTATGTAAATATCAGTTACAAATTATTAAAAAAATATTAAATGTGTTTAATCCGGTAAAGAACTTTAATTATGCCCATAAAGAAAATTACTTAGTTTGTTTAATTTTTTAACTTATATCGAACCAGCAATAAATAAATATGAGTCTTGGAATTCTTTTTATATTGAACAACTATGTGTTTTTGGCCTTGATGCAATAAACAAGGCGGATATCGGACGTAGGACTTCCGTTTTTACATTGTATTTTGTATCCATAGATTATAATAGAAGGCATCCGGGGTTCAAGTTACACAAGTGACATAGCCATTGATGACGTCTCGATACTTCAAGGGGAGAATTGCACTAAAGCAGCCATGTCTGCTGTTACACCCAGTCCTCCTCTAGATATACGTAAGTAAATTGAAGTTAACTTACAACTTAATATTTTGTTCCTATAATAAGTTGTTTATTAATTATAAAAGCGTACTGTTATACCCCTAAGAAGCCTTAATGCTAACATAAGGGGGTCGAGTCAAATCTCATTTAATCTTACGTTGGAGAGAGGGGGGGTCTCGGCAAATATCACGCAATTTTTTTTCTGATTGAAAAAAAAAATTAGGAAAACGGTTGACCCTAAAGGCCATCTCTGCAACTTCCCGCTAACTCCATATCTAAACGCTCAACATTTCACTGATTTTGTTCTAGTCGTAAATAAAAGCACGAAGCAATTTTTTTTCTTTTTACAATAACAATCCAACGCGTTAACGTAAGAAACCTACATTTTGAAAAATCTCACGTGAGATTGGGGGATGGGGGAGGGGGTTGAATAAAATCTCACGACATCTCACCAGGGGGGGAGGGAGGTACAGAAAATTTAAAAAAACACCTCACGTAATATATGGACGCCCCCTAATACTAAAGACAGTCATGTCATTTATTGATCTATACTTTATTACCTTAATCAAAAACATACACATAACAAAAATAAAAAACAGGTTACAACAGTTAGGTTTAAAGACATTTATTCTCATAACAGACAATAGTCACTTACATGAGAACTTATATACTAAAGAGACAATTTAAAGTTATAAGGCAACGGGCGGTCTTACGGCCTGGCCACGGGGATCGGCGGTGCGAACTGCGATGCGGGAGGCGAGGCGACCATTCGCGCGGGGCCGTTTGCAGGCCACGGACCAGTCACGTTTGCCGCCGCGACCAGTAAGGAAGTTCGACAGCGAAATGTCTTTATCGAAATCATCTCGATATTGCTTGGAAAGTAATAGCTTTTGGTGCAAGACCTAATATTTGGAGAAATTGTGGAGAATTCCACAAGAAGTATGAGAAATTCAGAATATATCCAGAATTATTTTTTTGAGTATACCAGAATGAGTATTGTAACCTTCAATTATATTCTTATGAATATTCAACCAGAATTGGAGAAAAAAATATAATGCAAATAGAATTTTAAGTTCCGCTGAAAAATTGTTTTTGAGATTAAGGTATATTAAATTAATGCTGTGGATGGCCAGACTTCCAAATAGCTGGTCTAGCCAGTATTTCAGTAACAAAAAACTCTGTATTCATTTTTCGCCGCGACCACGACTAAACTTATTTATTCCCTTCTCTATTCGCCGCGACTGCCGCTCGACTCCGTGGCTTGCACCGTACTGATTCATGCATTTGTTTCGCTCGCCCGTCGCGACGTCAGTCGCCCGCGCGATTCGCTCGGTACATTTCGCCGGTCGCATCGCTGGTCGCCGTTGCGCGTGGCTTGATTAGTACATTGCTATGAGTTTATTTCAGTCGCTAGACGCATCGCGGTTCGCACCGCGCGAATATTCGCGTCGGCGAATGTCCCGTGGCCAGGCTGTTATCGCTAAAAAGCGATTTCTTCCAGGCAACCCTAATGTGGAACAATGAAAAAGAAACACCTAAAGAGGGTAGAGTACAAGTAATGCAAAAATTATTAACAAAAAAAACTCAAAATAACACGTTACTATATTATCTAAAATAAAATAAAGTAAAATCTAAAGATAAAATAACAATAATAATAGATAAAAATATGTAGAAACAAAGATTTAAAATACAATCAAAAGGTTAACAGAGTCACAATAATTAAAACATACCAGCAGAGCTAATTACGATAAATGATCGAAAAGGAGCTTCTTAAATAAATTTAAGGACTGAGCTCGTCTAAAGCTGTCTAGCTGTCCCTCTCCGCTCTTCACCACCGGTTGCCCACCGGCTTTTAAGAAATAGTGACGTGTCAGTGTTTTTTATCGACTAAACATTATGGAATCCGTTACTGAAGTGGAGAGAAAAATAAAAAATTTAACAAGTCACTAGCAAGCACTTGGCAATCACTAATTGTGAACACGGCATGCCGTGACTAACGTGCCGCCGGGAAAATTGTCAGGCTCGCAACTTCTAAAGCCGCCGGATTCACCCGCCGGCAATAACCCGCCGGGTTCGTGCCGGCGGGCCGGCGGCTTCGGTGTGTAGACAGCTTTATATCAATAGGTAGGGAATTCTATAGCAGGATACTTATTTTTTATAAGTTAAATAAGATTGTTCTGTTTGGTAGCTTTCAGTCTGCTTGAGATCTTATCCAGAACGGTTGTTTTATTCAATCCTAATTCCAATTTTTTTTTTCTATTTGTCAAATAAATTAGTTAATATTCCCCTATTTCAGCTGACACGTGTGTTGGACGCTGCTCGGTGTACGACCCAACGGCGGAATCTCCTCATATGAGATGTGGCTGTTCCATCGCTTGCTTCTCCGATCATAACTGCTGTCCAGACTTCTTCGACGCCTGCATTTTTGCGCCTGGTAAGATTTATTTAATTTTATACTTATAAATGCTTGCGGTTATTAATAAAAGCTTCTTTTTACAGATTCAACGATGTTGGACGAAGTATCTGCAAATACAGAAGAAGCACCTCAAACGCAAAAACTTATACAAACTACGCCTCAAACTACCTCGAAATCTACAACCACTTCTACTACCACCACTACCACTACTACAACTACTACAACTACAACTCCCAAACCAACTACTAGGAGAACTAAACCGACAACTCCGAAACTGACAACACGAAAAATAACCACAACCACTAAACCTCCACCCAAAACGACTCGTATTTTAACCACTAAAACTACTAAACCAACCACTGTAACTACTAGAAAAACCACTAAAGTGTTTACAACAACTCCAAGTTCTCATGGTATATCAAGAACCATAGATAACCATAATACATATCATGAATTAGTGGAAAAGGCGAAGAAGGAACAACGTATTGAAACAAAAACGCTTCATAGAGAAGAAAGTAAGTCAGTTTTTAATTTAATATTCCAAATTCTAAAGAGCTTGTATTCATAAAAGATTGGCCTAGTGGCTTCAGCGTGCGACTCTAATTACTGAGGTCGTAGGTTCGATCACCGCCTGTGCACAAATGGACTATGCACACATATAAAAAAGTCCATTCATTCAAACATTCGCTCGAACGGTGAAGGAAAACATTGTGAGGAAACCGGCTTGCCTTAGACAATCGTTGTCTTATTTAGAACCTCGCTTAGTCTGATAAAGATCGCTGGTGATCTTCGAGGTGAATTGCGCCAATAGATACTTTCACTTACCTATACTACATCAGTCTGTTTCTAAATTCGTCTTTGTCTGTCAAAGTGTGTTTACGTTTTGATAAAAAGAGACATATGCGTTTAGTTAAAAAAAGCAAGTAGTTGAGGTTTTATGAATATTCAGGATAGCTTTTAAATAACTTATGTAAATATAAGAAATTAACAAAAGAATTTATATAGATAAGAAATTCATAACAGAGTATTAACTAAAAAATTAGATTAGTCGCAATGAAGACAACACTTTCAACTAAATATGTATTTCGTCTCTTTCGTTCAAATTGTATTTACGCTCTGGTGAAAAGAGACAGAAATTTAAGTAAACCTTTATTATTGTAAACAATTACAATTTTTATCTCATTTTTATTAATATGTATTTTAGTATATAATTAAATGTTGTTGCAGCTGCCAAATCGGGAAGCGCGTGGAAAATCGTCCTAATATTAGGTATAATACTATGCGCTGGTGGTGGTGTATGGTTATTATACATGGGGCGTTCGGTGCGCGGACGCATCGCAATCGCGCGGTTACGAAGCCGCGGGCAGAACGACCAAGAAGTCAGATATCTGTCTACTGATGTTGATGATGATTAAAATTATTCTGTTATATTGACTTTTATTGGCAAGATACGTGCTATGTAGTTTCAATATTTGGCATGGTAACACCATTCTTAATTCATTTATGCATTCACGCCTTTTTCCCGATGGGGTAAGCAGAGAAAACGGATCTCCACCTGCGACGGTCTGGCTACATAGGTATATATCTATGTAACTCTTGCCTTATCAGCGCGATAATTATGGGTACTTTTGTCCCTTCTGTAGTACGTCCTGGATTTGGCCCAGGTATGCACAAGATGAAGAATCTGGAGTAGGCCTTCACTCTATCGGAGGTCGAGTACAGTGTAAAACTTAAAAGACATGGACTTACTGTAATTATAGTGTACTCGAATACAGGCTATTTTTATTTATTTATTTATGCACAAGATGAGCAGTGTTGGCATAGTGGCTTCAGCGTGCGACTCTCATCCCTGAGGTCGTAGACACATTGAGATATTATTTTAAAATTCAACAAGCCTTGTGTGCAAACTTTAATAACTTTCGCAGGGCATCGAACCCAGGATAAGTTATTTTTAAGTAAATAAATGATAATATATTGTGTTATAACATTACTGGTTTAATTTTTGTATATAAGAATTATTATTAGTAGTAAAATAGTAAAACAACATTGGCATTCAAGAATAGAGCGTACCAAGTCTTTAAAGGCCGGCAACGCACTAGCGAGCTTTCTGGCAATGTAAGTGTCTATGGGCGGCGGTAGGTGAGCCTCCTGCCCGTTTGCCTCTTTTTACATAAATAAATGTCGCTAATAGTAATACTTATTTAAACCCTTTTAGATCGTTTAAGTGTCTTTATAATAATAATAATAAAATTAAGTGTCCTTACTATTTATTCAATAAGATACACCTTCTTATTATCTAATTTATCTAAGAATTTACATAACAAGGATTCCCATTTAAAGTCCCAGAAGACAAGTTATTCCTGAAATACACTCACAAAATAAATCCCAAACGATATCCATGGTTCAAAGAAAACGCATTCTACCGTCTCGTTATAAATATCCCCGGGATTAAAACCTATGATCTAATCGCATTCAACTGGGGCATGACCAGCTGAACTACTAAGTTGATTAAGCTTACGCGCCAATAACTGAACCTATAAAAAAGTAACCTCGAAACCTTCACGCCTAACATAAGATATTCTTCATTCCAACCTCCTTGTAGATGACGTTACAGCATCTTCTCTATCCTAAATCCAGATTATACAAACCGAATCTGGCAACACCGGAAGCGCGGGATATACGAATTGGTGACCTCGTTTCTAAACATTACCCCGTTTTTACAATGTCACCCAACATGAGGGCGCAGCCTTCAAACGTTATCGTATCGACCCACTGCTGTCTCTACTTCGCCTGCGCAAAATGGTTGCGGACAGTCTGTCATATGCCTGGCGTACAGTCACACGCCAGATACCTGCTGCAAAATAGTGTTCCACATTCAAATGTACAAAGTACGGATTGTGTAACCGGAAACAGATTGGTAAGTATATTACACGTTTCCCTCTCTTTTTCGATTATTATGTTTAATTGAAAACTGCGTACAATACACGAAGTGATAAGGCGTAATTTAAAACAAAAAATTACGTCACAGTTTTATATTGACGACAGTTTGTACAGCTTCCTCGTGTTATACGAAGACAGGTTGAGTCGCTGACGTTATGGAAAATGAATTTAATTAGCTGGCAACGTGGTTTTGAAAGTTATTTTCATGTTTTATAATCATTTATTTATTCAAGACAAGTTATTAATGTGTTGGTTTTAATGTTGATTATATTAGTAGGTTAGCTTTAAAGTATATTGAATCATAAAATCACAATGTACATTGGGGTAATGATTTTATGTCCGTTTTCAAGAATTTAAATTAAATTGCTTTTGTTTTTAACATGGTTATATAATGTAGGATTATATACTATTTAATGATTACGTAGCGACTTTGCGTGTTGAGAATTAACGACACAATTTATTTATACGAAACACTTATCACTCCGTTATTGAAACTTATTTAATATATTTGAATAAAGGAGATATATCAACATAGATATGTAAAAATTTATACGAAATTACATAAAAGTTTTAGATATTCAATATTTATTTCACACTAGACGTTATTTTTGTTTCGTTTTTAAGGTTCTTTATTTATTCTTACGGAAATTTAATAAGAAATTTGGTGCACTGTTACAAGAATTTGGAAAAAATCCGCTACAGCCTTTTTCGTCTCGGCCTCCGATTTCTGCATAATTCAGCTTTCTGTTCCTGACTCACACTGTTGACTTTTTGTGTCTGAGACATGACGGTTTCCTCACGGTATTTTCCTTCCGAGCGAGTGTGAAATACACACATAGACAGAAATTCCATTGATACACAGCCGGGGTTCCAACCTACGACAAGAATATGACATCAATAGAAATATATACGCAATGTGCTAAAGAGTGTTTCACACAATTCAATAAGTTTTGTTGCTCCAGTGTTTAAGCGCGAAATGGGGTAAACTTGATCTTACTGTGAAGAAAGTAAGAAAACCGCCATGGCTGACACATAGTTCTGCCGAGCACTACCGCTTTGTGAAGCTGCCAGTAGAGGTATTACCGAACTGATACGACTTAGGGGCCTTCAAGCAAACAGCGTACCATTCTCTGAAAGGTCGGCAACACACTCCCAAGCCCGTGGCTTTGCAGGTGTCCATGGGCGTCGATTATAACATTATTCAAAGCACCTGTTCGTTTGGCTCCTGGCCCATAAAAAAAACAGATGTGAAGACCTAGGGATCTATAGTCTAGGTCTTAATCTACGATCGACTATCTGTTTTAATAGTGTCTGAGCGATCTCACATATGTATAAGAAATATCATACATCACATATATAAAGAATCTCTATATAACTATTAGCACAACTTGTAACCAAATAATAAAGCTAGCAGCTCCTAATAATAGCTCCTTTTGTATCTTCCTTTAAATCTCTACTGTACAACATTACCTATCCACATCATACTAACTGATGTGAAAGTGATCTAAAATTATAGCGATTCATGTGCACATTTTCTTTTTATGTGTCCCTTTTTGATATTGTCCTGTTCACAGTTTACGTATGTTTTAATTTAATTTTTTTGTTATTACATAAAAGACATCATTTATGGAGAAATTCGGTAGATGTGGATAAAGTTTTTATTACTCAGAAAAATATATTAATCCTATTATAGGCGTTGTACCTCTTGTAAGCTGTAGATCAGTTATGACTTTGAAAATTGATTGTCTATGAATTTTTGCACTTCTCGGACTTGCCTTATCTATTTCTTTTTCTTTTCGTCACAATGGTCTCCTTTTCATTTAATTATGTCAACTGTATTATATTTCTGTATGCAACGGAGTGTTAATAAATATATAAAAAATAATACCTACGATTATGCCATTTATAAATCCCGCAAGAGACCATTATTATTACAAAATATGCGAGTGAAATAGGGTTAAAACTTAACATGACATTTCGCGTGTTAAACGGCCTTATTGCACAGATTGAAAACTGTTCATGGAATCAAATCGAAACACACATCTAGGTTGTTAATATTTATGGCCAAGTTTGAATTTGAAAATACATTATGAACAAATTTCAATTTGTATCGCGCAGCCCACATACAACCAATATTTAAGACTTGACTTGTTAAAGCTATCGCGGAATATGGTTAATAGAAGTAAAGAATATGCATAGCGCAAAATCACCTGCATCATGAGCATACCCCACATACACACCTTCACTTACCCTCACTTTACACCATCACACAACACAGCCAAATTAGGTACCACTTAGTTAGTTGTATTGAATATTTTTTATTGTTTGTATTCATTTTGTAAATTTTTGAACCTTTTTGTAGTGAAATATTATGTATTCCATCTCTGGCTATATTTTTTGGGTAATTGTTTGTATTATAAATAATTTTTGTTAGCTGTAGGATTATGAATACGAAATACATAAATAAATGAACTACAAATAAATGATTTTGTAAGTGAATTCGGATTTCGACTGGAACTTCACTCGCTCTAAAAAGCTCATCGACCAAGCGTTGCGTTGAGTGAAGTGAATTTAAATATCGACATTTATAAAACACCCTCAGTATTGATTGGTTTTATATTGATACCTTTAACCGTTGTACCTCCACACTTGGCATGGGCGTCTATGACTTACGGACCAGGCCACGCTATTACCGTGTCGTGCTTCGGGCGATTGCTAGAGGCGAAAGGGTTCAAGTATGTACGAGTTCCACAGAAATAATTTATTCATATAGGTAACGCAATGTACACTTAAGAAAGTCAAAATAGAAATATACATTAAATGCTTCTAATTTTACATTTACTGCTAGTTCTCAAATCAAGGGCGTAGAACAGAAAAGAAGAATTGGCAATAAACTCTCCGCTACTCTTATTAATCGCCATGTTTTTTTTACACAACGTTTGTAAGAAGCTGCAACCATTAGTTCCACTATCAGCAGGAGGCATGGTGAAATAGGAGCACGCACTTAAATTCTCGTGGGAACAAAACGCAAATACATAGTCGAAATAACTAACATATTATCTACAAATAGATACAGAAATCTCAAGCCTAGGTGTGATTATAGATTATTATAGATTATAGATGGATGTTGCATGCACAATTCAAAGTCCCACTGAAAATGCCAGGTCTGTAGGCTCTTGTTGAAGTTTGGCAGAATTCCAAATATCCGGGCTCTCACTTCAAGGTCGCTCTTACATAATATTGAATTAAGTATACCGTTAGGCTCTAGCATTTTTTAGTACTAGCCTTTGCAAAAGAATTTTAGATTACTGCTAGATACGTAATATCGTATAAGTAGCTAGAAGTGTATTTGTTTGGATAACAATCGGGTTGACAGAACAAATAAATACCTAAATAATAATTATAAATTATTATTAAGACAGTATTATTAAAACGTGTATACGCGCGTTCACGCGCGTACGACGACATTAGACAA